GAAAAAAGGCTCCCGAAAATTCTAGGTGAGCTTTTTAGGGTAAAAATCCGTTAAAAATGGGCAATTACACCAATTTTTAGATGTTCGAAAATCCCAGGAGAGGTAGGCAAGCAAGAAATTTTACAAAAAATGTTCCGAAAATTCTAGATCTCAAATCGTCTTCGGAACAGACATTTTCCGAAAATTGACGTTGGGTGCCCCTGTATTTACTTCCGTTGTACATTGACAACCCAAAAGCACTGAGTATTTTTCTTTAGTGTAAGCAATGTTAAAGGGGCTGTGTCATTGCTGTTTCCTTCACTTTCTTTACTATGCTAATTACGCGTTACCCTGGTCCCGCAGGTTTTTCTTGAAATTTTCGGCTTCGCGAAAGAGGGAGCAAACCGGGAAGCGGCGACAACGAGTCGCGATGATAATCGTTTCTTTCAAACAGTTCCAGGTAAAACAAACTGAAAATTTTTCGGCTTCGCGAAAGAGGAAGCAAGCCGGGAAGCGGCGACAACGAGTCGCGATTGCAATCGTTTCTTTCAAACAGTTCCAGGTGAAACAAACTGAAATTTCGTGAAAGTCGTCAAAATTCGGCGGAACTCAGCCGTGTACTACGGGCGAAAGAGATTTGAATTTGACGCCAGTAAGTCTCTTGACGGCGGTCGTTACAATGACGATTACTTTAGTTTTCACTTGTGCAGTGAGCTGTGAACTTGGATGCTAGAATTTGACAATCAAGACTTGTAGATTACAGGTTTTTCAGTCACCCACACTGAAATAAAGGATTTGGATGATTTACTCAAAGTTTTGTGAGAGTTTTTTCACAAGCGGAGGACCCGCTGTAGTGATTTCGAAACGCTCTTCCCTTTGTTAATAATGAAACAATATTGACCGTGCCTCCATTTATAATGGTAATTTTTAGTGGGTGTTAAGTACAGCTCGCGTGTCGATGGCATACCGGCGCGTGCCCTGCTAATTAGGCCATGGATATAATTAATTATGTTCAAGGCACGCGGAAAGTACGCGCATAACGCAGACGAAATTTCCTGCCAAGCGAAATATTTGGAATATAAGTGGAAGTGCAGAGTAACTGTGACCAATGAAAACTCGTTTTTTGGGTGCGCTTCCTAAGCCTTCTTTCTTAAGAAACTAGGCGCTTTCAGGAACTGATAGGCTCCTTTCGTTTTCGCTCTTACGTAGACAGTAAGGAAAAAAACAATCGAGGTCAGTACATTTGCATTAAGTCAACAAACAGCACTTTTTCCTCATTCAGAATGAAAACCGATTTTTTTGTTTCACGAAATGGCTCCAAAAGAAGCTAACATTTACGTTGTAGTGCTGTAAACATTAACTACAACAATCGAAGTCGCCAGCTCGATACAATAACTGTGTTTCCGTCGGCCTCCTGAGACAGAGTGAGCCACTTTTGTTTGCGGTTTGTGTCGCACGACCGACACGCGCGCAAAACACACCTTCAATCAAGAGATAAGGCAGTCTTTCAAATGCAAATCGGGGGCGCACTTTTTATTTGGAAAGTCTATTGTCGAGAACAATTAAGGAGTATTTTATCACCCATTATAACACGGCGTTGAACTCAAGGATTTGACTTGCCGTTGATGATATTTTGCAACCTGTGGATTTCACAATGTACAGGTATTCTTATGGACTACAGTAAGATATCATTTCCACGCACAATTTTAGCTGTAAAAAGCGTACAAAAACTAGCTAGCCTGATAATGAAAACATAAAAAGGTAAATAAAAAGTTCAGAGAATGAAATTGAGATACCCTGGTTGTCAGGTTTTTTTTTTCCTAATTCCTGATAGTTTGCGATAAATTGACAAAAATGAAAAATGAACAGTCAACAGTCTGGTGCCAGATTTGACTGCTTCAGTCATCACTAGTTAACAATGATTTCAACAACCCTGAAAACGGAAATAATTTTAAGACTCTTACAGTGTGGTACAGAGCGTGGATTAAACAAATTAAAGCTAATCATAAGCAACGGATGAGCTTGGAAATAAACATTAAATCCTTGACAGTGCCATTTTCTTCTGAAACAATTAAAACGATAACAGCAATACTTTATTTAAACACGCAACATATAGAAGCGCAAGCAAGACCTATAGGTATTAACTGGAACGTAGTTCTTTTAACGGTTTCAAGTGAGTTGAATGGATGTTAGTTTTGTACTTTTTAAAGTACTTCTTAGCGTAGTCGGGTCTTTTCAGCGATCGCTTTGTCAGACGGCCGGGTATTAAGGACATATGTTAACGAGATTTCGAGAGTGGATAACTTCTTCATCTGCTTTACTGTTACTCTATGGTGAAGGCTAGTTTAAATAGTAGGAAAAGTGGCGATACGATCGATTGTTTGCAATTCTGATAATCTTATCTACGTCTGTTGAGTTTGAATACAAAAGTACAAAGTTTGCTTGGTTGATTGGACTCCTACCCATACTTGAGCATTGCTTCGAACTCTTTATATCCTATATTTCAAGGTTTCTGGGCCGTGACTTTTGCTTGTGTCTTCCAAGCCGTCGACGGAAAGCTAAGTTAAGACTGATTTGGAATAAGCACAAGCCTTTATACTGTTACATCGTTGGTCACTGATACATGGCCTTGTGTCGCGTTCAGTTCTACATTAGTGGTCGAATATAGGAAAACATTAACTTATTTGCGTTAATGAGTAGTTATCTTTTCTTACTTACCTTTGTGTATTTTTGTTGTATTATTCCTTTTATACACGTCTGTGTGATTATTCCCGTCCTCGTTAAACCCTTTCAGTTTGTGGTGAATTTACTCTCCTTTTGACGAGATATGGATTTTAAAACGTCTCATTGGTCACTTACCCTTTTGATTGACATTTGCGCCGCCCATGCAGTTCTGAAAGCGACAGTCTGCAGTAAAGGGAGTCAACGACTGAACTATTACCGGAAATCATAAACAAAAGAGAAGTACTGAACTAGAGATGTCCCCCGGCTTTATTTCCCTTTCAAGCCCGTGCAAAAATTTAACCGAGATTTGGGCAATCTCGCCGAGATTGTTTTTTGTTAAAATGTTGGAGGTATTACATTCGTTCCAGTGCGACTCGGCCCTAAGTCGACAAGTGTTTTGTTGGCATACATGCGTAAAAGAAATTCAGTCGGTCGACTTTTTGAGACTGACAACTGAGAGAAACAGACAGTCTAAAGTAGATTTGTACGATGTTTCACCTGGGAGAATGCTGGCGATTTGGCTATTTGCATTAGTATGACTGAGTGTCGTATACGGTGTGTTTTTAATGCAACCATTAGTTGCTTTACTTTAGTTAAGTAGAAAATTGATTCTGCTTCTACTACTTTTTTCACAGTATCAATTTTAAACAAGAATATTAACTAGAGGTTTTGGATGGTTTAAAGGTTTTTCAGTGCTAATCGTTTGAATTTAATGTCGCTTATTTTTGTTATAATGCATATCCATACATTCAATTTTAGGCCTCTAAACCACGCTCTTTGAGGGAGGCCTCATTCTTATGACAGTGTAAGATGGACCTTTGTCTCAAAGAGTTTAAGGGTGACCCAATAACCTTTAGCATTAAACTTCAAAACCGTCTCTCACACTTAAGTAAGGATTTAGGAACCTGCCAGGGGGGTCGCACTCCGTCATTATTATTATTATTGTTATTATTATTATTATTATTATTATTATTATTACTATTATTATTATTATTATCATTATTATCGTTATTATTATTATTATTATTATTATTATTATTATTATTATTAATGGCCTATACGGGGAGGCTGCGCCCCAATGGAAGGTACACGAAAGGGGTACCTTTTCTTTCAAAAATGGTATATAAAAGGGTAAGGGGTTGAACCTCGGGGCGGAGCCCCCCCGTGTTAAATTTTGTGGAGTAACCCCCTCCCCCCCCCCGGGGGGAACCTGAGTTGTTTAAAGTCTGAGCAAGAGCGATTTTTTCTTAAAGGGACAGGTTCACGGTTCAGCACATGCTTAGTTATCAAAATGCTGTTTTTTCGCCGCGACATGCTGTATCGTCTATGCACGCAATATGATCATGTCATAACGTTGTCAAAGAACCAATCTGCACACTCCTCTGGCAGTCACTTGCACTTGATCAACTTAAATATTTGCAAATAGCTGTAAATTAATCAACCATGGAATGAAACCTTCGGGTCAACAATAAATTCAACGTTGGTAGTGTTGGTATAGTCAACTAATTTTTTCTGCGATTTTAGTACTCCTTCATCCTACTTCAGGTTACTCTGAAATACACGTTTACGTTGAAATACACTCTGAGATCGCTGAGATACATGTGAGTAGGATTATTATCTGATAGAATTAATAATAAATTGGAAAAAAGTAATGTAATTAATGAGCATGCGCTGAACCGTGAACCTGTCCCTTTAAGAGAGACGTCACTGGAGTATTAGCTGAGGAAGCATAAAGAGTTTGTCATTTGAAGCTCACTTTACTGAAAGTATTCCAAGGAAACCATCTTTAGCTTTTATTAAGGGGACTAACAACATGGATCGCTCGCTAATTTTTGTTTCCGCAAAATTGTGTTATACCGCTTCTCAGTTAGTATTTGATTTTGATTTTGACCCAATTCAGAATTTTGTACCTCCGAGTCAGATAGATATTTCCATTTTTTGTTTATGTTTAAGTGTTCTTAGCCTGTAGAACAAGCTATTTTTTTGCGTCTTTCATGCGAGCGCGAAGCGCGAGACCACGAATAAAAAAAGCTTATTCTGGAAGCTAACATTTTCTTTGAATATGTTATGTCCTGTAAGACACATTTTTTGTGGTTGTATTGAAGTATCTTGCCTTGTACACTGTTAAGGGCAACATATGTCGAGACTTAGGAAGTCAAGGCAACAAGGATCGATGACAACGACGAAAAAGGTTTAATAAGCAACGCAACAACATTGCACGTTCTTTACACTTTTTTCTACATTACTTCTTCATCACTGCACGCCTAGGAAGTGAACGTTTTCTTTTTAAAATTTTACTATATAACATTGAACAACACATAAATCAAAACGTACAAAATCGAACAGACATGATCTTTAAGAGTCAAAAACAAGAGAAAAATGTAAAAAATGGTCAACACACTAGGATCTGAGTCCAGGTTTTCCTATGAGAGATAAAAGTGAAAACTAAATTAGCTTGAGCTGTTCATGTTACCAAGTCACTTCACTTACATTTTGACAAAATTCAATTCAAAATCAGTTTGTGATGAACACTTTGTGGCGATCGGAAAAGGAAAAAAATTCGCGACTGAAAATTAGCTTAAAATATCGGTATGGTCGCCGAAAACCTGTTCGAAGTCCACTATATGTACACTATATCCACACACTATCGTGCCTTTGCTTGGCCAGAACAACAACCACACCAACAACCTTTATTATTTACATCCAACTAAACAGAATTTTAACATTCAGTTCTACGATGGCTAATGGAAAGAAAAAAAAAATGTTACATAAGATAGATACATTATGATAAAAGGATGTCTAGCACGAAAACATTTGCTAATTTAGCTCCTAGCTCCTAGCTATAAAGTTATATCTTTAACACAGTGGTGACAGGTATAATAGTAGCAAAGAAAAAACAATAATTAATAAATAAATAACACACACACACTATACATTATATAGAGAGAAGAACGAATATGGTCAACTTTCAAATTGTCAGTTCAGTAGATATTTTTTTAGTAAGTATGGGAAGGAGAAATTGGGAGGTCTTTCAAATGATGGGGAAGATCTTTCCTGAGGTCAACAGCTATAGATTGAATTGTCAGTGAATTGTCACACCAAGTCAGCGAAAATCTTCAGTTTGTGATTAATATAATTTTATGTTACAGGCTTGATAAAAAAGTTAATTGCCTAGCTTTGGTGCTCTTACCCTTGGCCCAGTAGGAACTTGTGGACATGATATACCGCTAGAAGAAAGGATATTCAAAAGCAGTTAGTATTTTGAAAACTTTTATACCAAGTAGATGGAGATTTCTGCATATCTTGAATTAAATCACAATTTTATGAGATACAAAATTCAGTTGAGGAAGGTACATTTACAAAAGTAGTCATTTGTTCTCAATGAAGCGAACAGTTTGAATGAAAATATTCTGAATTTTGTCAACTGGAGGACACGTAAAATAATTTATGTCACTAACATTTTATGTATGGTCGAATATCCCCCACCCGTATGTCTTTCTTTCTTTAAAAACGATTAACTTCTCCACAACGTGCAAAGCAGTCACTGGACATGATGGTCAGCGGAGTTACCAAAATATCCCCTTTGATGATTTGCGTAGCAAAAAGAGAGAAGTACTACAGAATGATTATGACTGAAAAAAACTAAATTGTTTTTGACATTAAATTTGAGCGGCGCTTTAATTCATTATTGATTTGTGGTTGGCGAAATAACAGGCAGCGGTCCTATTATTTTAATTATGAGCCTTTGTAGCTCCTTATATTATGACTGAGGTGAAGATATAACTATGGTTTGGGAACAATCTTCGTTTTTTTGTACTTCGGACTTTCTTACCAAATTGGGTTATGTCCACCACCGGGTTCCGTACATTGACGCACCAAACGCCCTCCGTCAGTGTACTGCTCCTAAGGAAAAAACCACAATGTTTTGTATCGCAGTTCTACAACTCTTGATTGACTCAACAGCACTCAGGATGGCATGGCTACTTCAGGAAAAAAACTTGGCCTAAACAGTTCAGTATTTCGACAGCCTGTTCAAGGCTGTGCTCTAAGGAAAATTGAAGGGTGCCCAGTGCTCTGACCGTGTAAAATCTAGGCTGCCCAGCATATGATTTGTATGTTAAATCTGAGATTTTCTAGTCGCCCAGGAGCAAAAGTTAGGCACCAGGGGCCACCGGGCTCTGCTAGAGTACAGCCCTGCTGTTACACGGTGTTTGGCACTTTACGTGTAATGTTTTTTTCAAAGTTCGCCTGAAAATGCTATAAACTGTCGTTAATATGAGAAATCCAGTCTTAGCAAACTCTTATTGGTTCTATGGGGTCAAATTATCGCTCAACTCGTAACCTTGTTACCTCCTTAGTTAAGTGCTTTTTCGACGTGGTCCACATCTTTTAATGGCCTTAAATGCTTTTAGGGACGTGATTCTAATGCTCCTTTTACTATGAAAGTAATATTTCAAAATAAAATGCAAGTACGCCTATACAGAAGGGCAAATTAGGGATTGGGTGGTACAAGTCTATTGAACACAAAATCATCGTTTAGTTTTAGCTTATTTTGCGCCCAAATTTTTTCTTGCAGCTGGGTGTACTGTCTTGATATAAAGTCCATTAAGATTATGTTGTTTAATCAATATTCCTTTTCTTTAGATGTCACTGAAGATTTACCAGAATGACATGCAATGTTCAAGGAAGACAACAATAACATTTACCTCGTGACGGTAGCCGGGATCTGGAGCGGCTTGAAGATCTTGAGCAGTTTCAGTGACGTCATCCTCACTAATCAACACCAAGTTATAAAGGCGAAGTAAGCTTTCACCGTTTTGCTTTTGTATATCAGATTGATTCCTAGCAGCAAGTTATTTACTGATTTATTCGTTCATTTGTTTTCTTGTCTTTCTTGCCTACTGACTCACTAAGTTCTTGAGTAAAAATCTGATATATTTGGGAAAGGTCTGAAATAACGGTTAAAGTATGCAAGGAAATGTTTCGAACAGCTCATATAATAAAGATGGCGAGACGGCCTCCAGAAATCGCCAAGCTTATACAATGTAGGGATAATTCCTCTCGTATTGAGAAATTTGCAGCATTACGACGTATTTGTAGGATTTTGAAACATTGAATGATTGTCTAATTTAGGATGGTAGGTGACTTCTTTCTAGATTTATCAACAGCGTTGAACCTTTTCGATATTATAGCATTTTGGGGCGTGGGATACTTTTGAGTCTTAAGTTTATTTGCTATCAAAAGTTTTAAATGGAACATGTCATTTCTAACTTCATAAATTAAAACTAGTAAAATTATTGAAAAGGTTCCTAACTATCCTGGAACACTAAAAGGTGCTGCTCTTTTCAGTCGAAGGCCGAAATTCATTTGCATTGATACACTACTCGATTTCTCCCCAATGTGTCATCTGCATAGGTGTGACTCTAGCAGGCTTTAAAAAATATTTTAGCTCTCTTTGGTTTTTAAAAAACCTGACTCTCTCTTCCAGATTGATTGATTCCCTCATCTTATAGTTGGAGTTTTAAATTGTTACTTTAAGAGAGACAGGTGGCCCACTTTTGTTTTCGAGGTGGCTCGACCCAGTATTTTTGTAGACAGGTAGGCTTGCTTGATTTCGAAAGACAGGAAAGTATCAGGGTAAAACTCAATGCTGAGCTCTTTTTACAACTAGGAGGCTACTTTCACGAAAACAGCGATAAAATCAAATAGCCTTCATGTAGAAATTCCAAATAGCCTTCATCTAGAAATTCCACGATATCACGAAATTCCACTTCACATTTTTGTGAAACTTTGCTAGCAAAGAGCATTTCCAGAAAAAGTGCGAATAAGGACTGTAATTCGATAAAGAGCGGAAACCATTGTGACGTCATTGTTACGTGGTATTCCGATCGCGAAAAAAATAATGTCTAATGTCATAATTGAGTTCAGTCTATGTGTGATCCATGTGTTTACAATAAAGACCAAGTTATTCCAAAGGTGAAAGGTATGCCTATAAAAGATCGAGCTACCTTAAAAGAAGCGCCAATAGCAATATTTTCTTTTTAAGTGCAGGAATAGAGGATCTTTTTATTGAAAAAAAGCAGAGCTCGAGTAATATTTAAAGGCCTTTGTAGGTTTATGAACAAAAGCAACACACGCCTTACTTGTAGCCGAGCTTAGTAATTACGTTATCTGTTTGATGACTATCAGTGATTTTATACGTTAGATTTTTTTACTTTTTACCTGGTAGCTACTTCCTCCTTGTCCTTTTCTTCATCATTGTTCTGCAAAATAGCGAAAAACGTCGTTTGCAAAGGTTTTTGTGCAAAAGTCAGAAATGAAGATGCAAATCTCTATGTACCTTGACAGAGTGATCTAGCGATTCACAATCATTTCCACCATGATATCGTTTTAATATATATATTTTTTATTTCACTAACTTCGTCAATAACACATGTACGTAAAGATAAATAGATGTTTAAGCGTGGCCGTACATCACAACAACCGTAGCCAGATATAGCACGTTGTAGGTTGAAAAATAATGTATTAATCGTTTCACGAAGTATAAACCTGAACAGGTTAAACAATACCTTGCAAGAGACCCGGAAAGGAAGCAAACATTGCAAACAGGAATTTAAAATCATTGATTTGACGCCGTGAAATAGCCTCGATGGAGTGCCTCCCGTTAAGCTCTTCAAAGGATTTAATAGCCTTGTCTAATTCGTCTGCTAAAATGTTCCAGTTGTTGAATATCACAACAAATATGTTGAGATAACTGATATGTTTCTGTGTTTCGAACCTCGCTTACGGAGTTTTTATGTAACGTGAGGCAGTAAAACCTACACTCCACCCAGTGTAATAAAAAAAACCCCTCTAAACTAAAAAGGTGTTTTTTATCCGTATTAAAAGACGTGATGCTACTCAGCTTATATTTCCTGTAGTGCATTTAATACAATCTTCGATGCTCTTACCTTCTTTTCAGCCATCTTGAGTCTACAAGAAAAACAAAGCAAAGTATTTTAAAAAATTGAAATTATTTCAAGAATTGGTTTGGACTTTGTTTGCAACCTGTATTTGTGAAAATTTTGTATGTATCAATAATTATTCACTGAGGTTCTTAAATGGAGTATGATTGATCAGAGATTGATACTTATATAAGCAAAAAGTGCGAAAGAAGACAACGAAATCAAGAAATCAGCTGTAGTAGTTCAAAGCGTAGTAAAAATCACGAGCATATTGCAGTCTCCCCAGTTCGCTCACCAGGTAAAAACAAGATTTCGCCGCGCCTCGAACTCGGTGAGTACAAATTGCCAAATTTATACACGCCAAATTGCCATTGGAGTAAAATAGTTGTGTAGATAAGATGTAGTGGGCCAAATTTGACAATATAAGTTGTGGGTGTGAGGCAAGTGGTGCAAATCGATGTGCAACCAGCGTATCGTTGTGGTTTTACTGCACAGAAGACGTACTTTTGTCTAAGCACCGGAAGAGTTCACTTCACCGCAAGAGTTCGGCCGTTCCACAAAACAGGTCCCAATTAAGAGGAGTACACTATAGGCATTTCAAATTAACTAAAAAGACATTACAAGCCATGCTGTGATTGTCTTTTAAAGCTCTGGAGTTGTTTGTCATAGTGATTTCAAAACGTCTTGACAATAAGTAAAAAGGCAGTTTAAAAATAAGGGTCCAGAATGATTCTGTTTAAACAGTTTTCCTCTGACTTATTGGCACCGACATAAAGTTCCCGTGTTTTGCCCATATGGCTATGAAATTTAGACCTTTGTATAAGCTCAATGCATACTGTGCGATTGTTTGGTCGTGTGCGAGTGGCACAGGTTAAAACAACTGTTTATCCCAGCACAGCTGTTCCATAAATTGAGTCATGCGGAGTTTAAACGTTGGTGGTACGTGCATCTTAATTATGGAAGTGAAGTGTTGCAACTTCACTTTTTGTGGTATTAATTGAACAGTCATGCTTTCCAAAAGAGGAAATTGGTTTGTAATGAAACTAAAAATGCTTGGTGTTGACTCGACGGCAGCGATAACCATGCCTCAATAAAAGGAATTTACGTTCGTTCAAACTTAAATCGCGTTTACTTGCTCACGTTCAAAATGTCAAGTGCAGACGAATTTTCCTGTAGTTAAACTTAAGCCACTTCTGAAACCCAGTTCAAGAAGAGAAAGAGAAAGGAATATTCGCGTCCTCCATGAAACGTTACGGATTTATAGAAAGTTTCACCTCGCAGTCGTGCACTGGACGTCGAAGAAATGTACCAAAAAGTGGGGTTTATGTGCAGAACTGTTGTTTAGCTTAAAAATCTAACTGTTTTTTGGCGTTCTTGTCGACGTCGTCGTCGCGGTCGCTCCCTTTTATACGTAATGTGGTTACAGTGGGACTGTCAATCCTTGTTGTTTTCTTGTCGAAAGACTAATATATTAAAGGTATACGCAGGCGATAAAGCAACCTGAGAATTATTTCATGATTTATTGTGGAGAATCTTCACATACCTTGGCTCAGATCCCTCCTTAACTGGGTTGATGTGTAGTTTTCTCCTGTATGCTACGCCGACCCGAATCTGCTTTTCGTCGGGCATACATGTGCACTAGGAGTAGGATTATGCTTGCGCATGCTCTAAAAATCGAACCGGCGAGGACCGTAGGCTCGCACACTTTAAAATGTTGGATTTTGTTCCGAATGTAAGGTAAAGCATCCTCCATTCTCCCAATACCCAGTCGTTATCTAAAATAACAAAAAAGATGAGTTAGACACCATGTCAGTAAACCCTTGCTTAAATGCACGCTGTCCATTACACTCTCCTTCATCTTCGCATCTTCGGTGTATGACAACGCTTTCCAATTGTGTGGCACGTAAACCTGTTAAGAAGGGCTTCGTATGTTATGGCTGTCTTTTTCAGTATAATTTAGTACTGATTTGTTTCAGTTCTTCGTATTAGCCAACGTTCTTAGGCAGTGCAACTTCTGTTAAGGAAGACGTCCGTTATGGGTTTCTCTGTACATCACTTGATTTTGTGAACAAAACGCAAAACGTCGAGCCTACCCGAATAAAAATACATTTTGCTGAGCCAATGTGTGTCCTGTATCTCCACGAATTTGAGCTGGGAGTAGGAAATAGCAAGATAGGAAATGGTTACTCAATAACTGCTAAGGCTGAGTTATTATTTTTGATTTCAACTCCAAATTCATCGTCCTCTACGTAGCAGTAAACTCCCGTCATACTTTGTTCGTTCGTTTGTTTGTTTTTGCCGCTTTAAGGCGCCGTAACCTTTCCCAAAGCAGACCGCTCTCAAGACGAACACTTCAGCCATCAGTGCAAAGCAGATCATGGCTAAATTTCAGTGGTTTGCCCTCAAATGACGCGGACAGCAAGGGGTGGCTAGTTCTGGTCAAATTTTAAAACATTTTCCCTGCCAAATATAACTTAACTTTCGACGACTACCCACGGGTCTGTCTACCCAGTCGAAGTGACGAAACAAGCAAGTGAGCAAACGAACGAAGGGGGAATCAGCTCTTGCGTGTGCTGTCGTGTGTTACGTTTGATGTATTCACTCTGAAAAACAAGTGACTATTTGTATCCTAAAAGCCGTCAGTTTTGCAATATCCATTCTGTTTTTCACCTGGTTTATTGACATTTCTCGTTTTAAGTAGATCACAGACCGCCGGTCGTCGAAGTTTCTGCGAAATACATATTGACATCCATCCTTGTCTTCTGGTGGAATATATTTTAATGAATTTTGTACGATGAAAGGGAATATTTAGAAAACGTTTCAAACATTCTAAATAACCAGGAAAGTGAAGCAAAAGATACCATCGTTTTTCGTAATTTCCAGCGAAAGAAGTTTGCATTTTAAACACTAACTTTCTAAAACTTTTAGTCCAAGATTTAGAAGTACTGAAACGTTTTCGATTCAGTGGTCGCTTGGAGGTATTTGCCCCTTTCTACCACTAACTGAAAATTTCATAGGAGTTGCATTTGTTATTCCAAACATAGTTTACAGGCAGTCTTTCTAAACTCTTCTTTAATCCAGCTTACCTCCAGTTCTTCGGTGTCTTGAGGAGAGGTTATCTACCAGCAGTTTCTAAGCTTCCTCGATTCAGTTATCATATAGATATATGTCTGGTCCCCGCTTATAATGGGCATTTTTCATACCGTCCATACATTCTAGAGAACATTCGTCAAACGTTGTCGTATGCAAGGCATTTCTCTTCGCGGAAAGAATCACATCGCCCAACAGTTTACAATTTGCGTATATGATAAAAGTTAGCTAGTCGTTATTTACTCAATAGGAAGTCATGCATTCACTGAGGCATCATTTTTGTATTGTTTGAAGGTAGTATGTGCTAAGACACATCCCGTTTAAGAAGAAGTTTTTTAAGTGAAAGCGCGTTGGCGTTTAAAATTGTGTGCTCAATTTCATCTTTGTTTTCTTGGTATATTCATATGCAATTTTTTCATTTAATTATCTTCGATTTTTTTAATCAATTTTAATTTTACTGATCATTGTCCAGTTTTTGACTGTTTCAAAACAGATAACTCGATTTACAGACACAGAAGGCAATCAAAAAATACGCACTGTATTCCAAACAAAATAGTTGATGTTTAGCGGCCCATGAAAAGTTTGTGCTTAACCGGCCACGGTCATTTTATGAATATATTCGAGATCTGTCATAACGGGATTGTTTACAAATCCTGTCAAAACTGTTATTTGGTTTCCTAGCAAAACATTTGATCATATTCAGTTAACACAAAGGGTTGATTATCTATATTGATGAATGTTTTTCTTTATGCCTTCTTGACACTGGACTAATAATTAAGAATCATAGAGTGAGGCTGAGAAGGATGTGAAGAATTAGGAGGCCTCGGCCTTGGTGGGTAACATCCACCGAGGCCTGCATAATTCTTCACATCGTACGACAGCTGAATTCAATAATTGTATTATTATTCATTCAAAATATTTCTAAGTTCTAAACATGCTTACCTCCTCGTAGGCTTTCTTCGAAACTTTTGTTTATTTCTAGGCACAGTATTAGCGGATATAAAAAAAGGTTTTTCTCCTCAAGAAATAAATAACGTCCATCGTGTAATATGCTTTGCGTATTTTTGTATTTCTTCGAATCAAAAAGTCAGCTATTTCGTCCTCGAATAGCCGTGAACTCCATTTTTTTAGTTCACTCTTGCCCAAGCAGCCTCGTTTTCAATCAAATATACTAACGTTCAGCCTCGTGTCCAATCGAATATACCATCGAATTGACGGTTTATTGCCACGTCTTCTAAATATGGTAAGCGCCAGTTGGTTAAGAAGAATTAGTCGGAGGATTGGAGCCAATTAGAAACTGCGAGATATTTTGAATGAATAATTAACAGTGTTTAGGCATAAGAGTTTGGTAAATTAAAACTGCGTTAGAATGCAGGTATGTTAATCCCGGCTGAACTCTGAATATCATTCAGTTATCATTTTTTATTAAGATAACAAAGACTAAGAAAAGGAAAAGTGCCACAGGATCCGGCATGTCATCATTAGCCTGAAGAAACAAAAGAACCGGTTAAACCCTTAACTAAAGTAAATTAGGAAAATAAGAACTAATTGAACTGAAAAGTCCGTTCTAATGTGCAGAGACTACGCAGCATTTCGAGAATATGCATAATCTTCTCTGGCCCAAAAAATTACCACCTCAGATCGAAAGTTTCGCTTTATGGTTTTAGCGACGTTGCTTTTGTTTACTGAATGAAATAGAAGATTCCATATACACCTGTGGTTGAGCATGACTCGACCCCGCTATCATATTTGGTAGACCATACCTGAAAGATATGTAAAACAGTCGGTTAACTTCCATTCTCGTCATCGATAAAATGAAAGATGAGTAGCGCAAAAACTCATCAGTAGCAGGCAGCCTTTGCTCGCCCTAAAAATACGCCGAATTGAAGGCTAGTGTCAGCAGAGCTGTGCCCTTAAGTGCAAGTGAAACTATGACTTTTAATTAGACGTTGTTGTGCATAGTGTAACGTACGTTTGTCACTGTAAACTGGTCGGAATGATCGGGCCTCTTGCAGTGGCAACATTACAACTAATTATGCTTTTATGATATCTTTGTCAATGTGTCATTTTCGGCTAGGAAACTGTTCATTTGCTCCGGAAAGCAGGTTATTTCACCACCTACCTTCTCGATTTTTTGTCGAATACGCCTCCCCATTCTGTGATAACTTGTGATTACTACTAGTAAGTTAGCTAGGGTGGGTACTATATGGTGGAGATGATAATTTGTATAGTAAAGTTCTTTATAGACATGACTGTTTTTAGTGTCTTACCTGGCTTGATTTGCCTGGTGATCATTTTGCTGGCGTATAGCTTGGTTCGCGGCGTTGGACCCCTAGTGAGTTAGAGAGAATCAGCATTCTGATAAAACTGAGACATATGGGGGAATCAAGTGTGTAAATGAGGTTCAAAAGGGAAAGTGAACTTTTCTGAGCGACTGAAATTTGAAAGAAGGAGAGGAGAGTTGCCGTGGGACGTAACAAAAAGGATTTTACCATTCTTTTCAGTGGTTAAAGTTGATGTTGGTCACTCGGGCTGCTCGGCCGCGTGGTCAAGTGCTCGGTAAATCACTCGATTTGAGAATCGGTCAGTTTTAGTGAGTGGGTCAGTCAGTCTGTTGGTCTTACGTCATTTCCTGGCGTATTTTTATTAGAGCATAGAATTTAAATTCGCTTGTGTTTTTGAAAAAGGAGTGAAAATTTGCTAACATTTACTTCTTGTGTCAGTGGAATATATTTTTAAGATCATTATTTTGAATATTAGATGTTAGTAAATGTTTTGCGTGAGGTTTAGGAAATGTAATTTCTGACGGTTGAGTGACTAGGAACGAATTAGTCAGAAATTACTATTCTGATGGCACGATTGAGAGGTTTAAGTATTCTCAAGGGAGAGTTTTGAGTATTTAATGTTTTAGCGGGGAATATTAATCATTCTAGCTCAGTCAGTCTTTCTGTTTGCTGTTGTCAATTTAGTTAAATTTTTTCTATGGAGTTATGCGTTTGTTTGTACCTCTTCCCCGAGGTTCCGTGCCATTGCATTAGATGGGGAATACGTTTCCACATATTTTTTGGCCACATCTAAAGAGTGGTTTTTTAGTGGTTTTTCGTATCTGGCGTGGTACACTTAATTTTTTCAAGCTTTTCAAGTTAGACTTGCTAGTATATTCTATGTTGTAATAAGTATATGTTACGACACATTGTTGTTGTCGGATGACTGACTGACCATTCCTCAATAAACTATTTCACATTGAATGTTTCGTTATAGTGTAGTCAGAATACAGTATTTTCACCTGCCCAAGCGCGAAGGGCACCACGGGCTGATTTGTGGGTGAACTGCCGGAATCACTGTTTGTATCCATTTCTTCATTGCTAAATGAAAAGGAAAAGTCAGGTCAGTAGCAATCGAAAAATTCTTGTCTCCAGGATATTCAGTTTTTGAAAGGGTATCTCCAAAAAAAGAACGTACTAACATTTTACCATTAAAATACTGAACACTTCACAGCATTGAGGTTGTGTCGTTTAGCTTCCTTAAAAGTTGCATGAAGTTTTTGCCCATAGAAAGGTAGAGGCGTCTAATGTTATTCAGCAATACCTTTATTAAGTACATGTAAAACCTGAAAAAGCCACCCCATTTGTGAGCGGTATTGTATTACCTAGAGTTTAGCTGGTAAAATCTTGGCGCTGCCAGGTTTACAAACAAGCATATACGTAGAAGCAGTAGCGCGCTTTTCTTTACTGTCTTTTATCTGTACAAAAGTTTCTGGAGCAAACCACTTCTTCTTTATTTCTAGAATAATACCTTTTGAATGAGCTTAACGCCACTTTGTGATCAGGCAATCACAAATTTCTTCAAATCAAACAATCAAACAATCAAAAATTTCATCACAGATCACTTGAAGTGAACACCACACGGGTGAGAAGGCGCGGGAAAACACTTGCGCGCAAAGCACGATGGACTAAAGAGCCACCCACCCGGACAAAGCCCTCTATTGTCTTGACCCGTCGGTGCTCCCTGGTCTTGATAAATGATCACTGAAGCGCAAGCGAAAATTCAGAACTCGTGCTGAAAATATACATGGTTGAGTTTGAAATAGAGTCGGTATGTGGAAAAATGCGCCGAGTATTGGCTTAGGCATTAAAGCTTATAAAAAATAGCAATGTAAGAAAATTTGTCCGCTTATAGTTTTATTCACAGCGTCGAGTTGAAAATTGCGTGGTTCTACTATGTAATTTGATGAAGCGGGTTGAAAATACACAACGAGCAAGGTCAAATAGAAGAGTCGAGTTTAAAAGGTAAAAGACGGGAGTAAAAACGTTTTCCAATGATGCGAAATCTAAAGGAAGAGTGTAAAATTTTGAATTTAGCTGTAAAATTCAAGTACCGAGGTTAGAAATTTAAATGATTGATTAAAAATTCAAACCATGAATTGTGGCGGGGATCATACGCCATAGCCTTCATAGTCTGCTATACAGCCGTTTTTAGAGTCGTCACGCAACGCTCCTCTCCGTTTGTGGGGAGGAGCTTTGCGTGACGACGCTAAAAACGGCTGTGTTGCAGACTATAGCCTTCATGGCATTAGATTTTCTCACGAAAGAGTCAATAATCCTTGGTTACCGATCTAGCGTAAGTGAAGACAGCCTAATTAGTGGGAAGACAGTTTTACAAAAAGCGCCAAAGTTATCTTTTACCTGCGGCTGTTATTATACCCAGTCTCGATGGAAAGCAATATTCATGATTTTGTCTCGTCTGAATGGAAATTACTTCTCGTGAAAGAGATGTAAATTGCTGCGCAAATAGTTATGCGGCAGTTGTAATTCCACTTATATTTTCTTGCATCTCTCCAAATCGCAAGTCGAATGTATTTAAACTATCTCCAAAAGCGATCTTTTAAACACATTTTCACTGGCTCAGGTCAAAAGTGAAACGGTTTTCCTGTTTGGCCCCGGCGCAAAATGCGCACGCTGACGTTGTGTACTACAATATTTAAATGTCACTTTCAAATCGATAATGTCTTAGTTATTTACTTCAGTTGTACTTTCATTGAGAACCCAAAAGCACTGAGTATTTCTCTTTCGTGTAAACAATGTTAAAGGGGCTGTGTCATGTCTGTTTCCTTCACTTTCTTTACTATGCCAATTACGCGTTACCCTGGTCCCACAGGTTTTTCTTGAAATTTTAGGCTTCGCGAAAGAGGGAGCAAACCGGGAAGCGGCGACAACGAGTCGCGATTATAATCGTTTCTTTCAAACAGTTCCAGGTAAAACAAACTCAAATTTCTTGAAAGGCGTCAAAATCCGGCCGAACTCAGGCGTGTAATACACGCAAATGGGATTTGAATTTGACGCCAGTAAGTCTCTTGACGGCGGTCGTTACAATGACGATTACTTTAGTTTTCACTTGTGCAGTGAGCTGTGAACTTGGGTGTTAGAATTTGACAAACAAGATTTGTAGATTACAGGTTTTTCAGTCACCCACACTGAAATAAAGGATTTGGATGATTTACTCAAAGTTTTGTGAGAGTTTTTTCACAAGCGGAGGACCCGCTGTCGTGATTTCGAACCTGCTCTTCCCTTTGCTGATAATGAAACAATATTGACCGTGCCTTCTTTTTAGTGGGTGTTAAGTGCAGCTCGCGTGTCGATGGAATACCGGCGCGTGCCCTACTAATTAGGCCACTAATGGATATAACTAATTAAGTTCAAGGCACGCGGAAAATACGCGTATAACACAGACGAACTTTCCTGCCAAGCGAAATATTGGGAAAATAAGTGGAAGTGCACAGTAACTGTGACCAATGAAAACTCGTGTATTTGGGTGCGCTTCCTAAGCCTTCTCCCTTAAACAAATAGACACTTTCAGGAACTGATGGGCCCCTGACGTTTTGGCTCTTACGTAGACAGTAAGGAGAACAAACAATCGAGGTCAGTACATTTGCATTAGGTCGACAAACAGCACTTTTTTTCTTCATTCAGAATGAAAACCGATTTTTGTGTGTGTGTGTGTGTGTGTGTGCACGAAATGGCTCCAAAAGAAGCTAACAATTACGTTGCAGTGCTATAAACATTAACTACAACAGTCGCAGTCGCCGTCAACGAGTCGCGATTGTAATCCTTTCTTTCAAACAGTTCCAGGTAAAACAAACTGAAATTTCTTGAAAGTCGTCAAAATCCGGCCGAACTCAGGCGTGTAATACACGCGAATGGGATTTGAATTTGACGCCAGTAAGTCTCTTGGCGGCGGTCGTTACAATGACGATTGCTGCAGCTTTCACTTGTGCAGTGAGCTGTGAACTTGGGTGCTAGAATTTGACAAACAAGACGGAAATATGGTCGATGAAATACCGGCGCGTGCCCTGCTAATTTGGCCACTAATAGATATAGTTAATTAAGCTCAAGGGACGCAAAAGATACGCGCATAACGCAGACGAAATTTCTTTCCAAGCGAAATACCGGAAATATAAGTGGAAGTGCAGAGTAACTGTGACCAATGAAAGCTCGTGTATTTGGGTGCGTTTCCTAAGCCTTCTCCCTTAAACAAATAGACGCTTTCAGGAACAGATGGGCTCCTGACGTTTTGGCTCTTTACGTAGACAGTAAGGAGAACAAACAATCGAGGTCAGTACATTTTCATTGGGTCAACAAATAGCACTTTTTTTCTTCATTCAGAATAAGAACCGATTTTGTGTGTGTGAGTGTGTGTGTGCGTGTGTGTGTGCACGGAATGGCTCCAAAAGAAAATAACATTTGCGTTGTAGTGCTATCTACGAAAATCGCAGTCGCCAGCTCGATGCCATAACTGTGCTTCAGTCGGCCTCCTGAGACAGAGTGAACCACTTTTGTTTGCCGTTGTTGTCGCACGGCCGGCACGCGCGCAAAAGAGGCCTTCAATAAAGAGATAAGGAATTCTTTCAAATGCAAATCGGGGGTGCGCTTTTTATTTCGAAAGTCTATAGTCGAGAACAAATGTTTATTTTAAGCTAGAAAATTATTTTCCCGACGCGCTGACACTTTCAATTGGGCATTAAACTCGTACTTTTAAAATATGCAACTGTCTCCTGGGAATTCAAGCATAGCAATATTCTGCGAACCTTTTGCTAAAATTTAAATTCCAGTTTAAAACAAATGACAGCTATCACTAAAAGGCATACTTGTCTACTTGTTTCTCAGACAAGTAAGGAACAGCTTGCCACAATATACAAACCAATGCTATGCTTTTTTAACTTCAGTTTAAACAAATCTGAGAATCTGGGAGGTTACTGACTCATCGCTTCAAAGAAATAGTCGCCGAATAAAAACTAAACAATTTTAAGCTTCAGGGTAGCTGCAAATTGCTTTTCAATGTTCAGTGCAAAGTAATTTGGTAGGGGTTCCTTAATGATTAAGAAAAAACGAATATGAATAACCGAATATGAATAATAATTTGCGATATATATTAAAAGGATATTTTTGAGGCATCGGTAATTAGTATGTGTAATCAAATGTTGTCGAGTGAAATAAGGGGATAATTTCACCCTCAAATTTCGTGCCAAAATTAGGGAGTAACTTATCACCCATGATATGATATAAGTAACACGGCGTTGAACTGAAGGAATTTGACTTGCCGTTGATGATATTTTGCAACCTGTGGATTTTAACTGAGTGCTTAAGTATTCACAATGTACAGGTAGTCTTATGGTCTACAGTAACATATCGGCATTTCCACGGGCAATTTTAGCTGTAAAAGGCGTACAAAAACTAACTAGACTGAAAAACAAAACATAAAAAGATAAAAAGTTCACACTTTTTAGAGAATAAAATGAGATTTTCTTTCCTAATTCCTGATAGTTTGCGATAAATGGACAACAAATGAAAAATGAACAGTCAATAGTCTGGTGCCAGATTTGACTGCTTCAGTCATCACTAGTTCAGTAACGATGATTTCAACAACCCTGAATGAACGGAAATAATTTTAAATTTCTCATAGTGTGGTACAGAGCGTGGATTAAACAAATTAAAGCTAATCATAAACAGCGGATGAGCTTGGAAATAAACATTAAATCCTTGACACTGCCATTTTCTTCTGAAACAATTACCACGACAACAGCAATACTTTATTTAAACACGCAACATATAGGAGCACAAGCAAGACCCAATGGGTATTAACGGGAACGTAGTTCTTTTAACGGTTTCAGGTGAGTTAAATGGATGTTAGTTTTGTACTTTTTAAAGTACTTCTTAGCGTAGTCGGGTCTTTTCAGCGATCGCTTTGTCAGACGGCCGGGTATTAAGGACATATGTTAACGAGATTTCGAGAGTGGATAACTTCTCCATCTGCTTTACTAATACTCTATGGTGAAGGCTAGTTTAAATAGTAAGAAAAGTGCCTCACATAGTGGCGATACGATCGATTGTTTGCAATTCTGATAATCTTATCAACGACTGTTGAGTTTGAATACAAAAGTACAAAGTTTGCTTGGTTGATTGGACTCCTACCCATACTTGAGCATTGCTTCGAACTCTTTACATCCTGTATTTAAAGGTTTCTGGGCCGTGACTTTTGCTGGTGTCTTCCAAGCCGCCGGCGGAAATCTAAGTTAAGACTGATTTGGAATAAACACAAGCCCTTATACTCTTACATCGTCGGTCACTGATACATGGCCTTGTGTCGCGTTCAGTTCTACCTTAGTGGTCGATTATATGAAAACATTAACTTATTTGCGTTAATGAGTAGTTATCTTTTCTTTCTTACCTTTGTGTATTTTTGTTGTATTATTCCTTTTATAGAGGTCTGTATGATTATTCCCGTCCTCGTTAAACCCTTTCAGTTTGTGGTGAATTTACTTTCCTTTTGACGAGATATAGATTTTAAAACGAAGTCTCATTGGTCACTGACCCTTTTGATTGACATTTGCGCCGCCCATGCAGTTCTGAAAGCGACGATCAGCAGCAAAGGAAGGCAACCGCTGAACCATTACCGGCAATCATACACAAAAGAGAAATAACTAGAGATGACTCCCGGCTTTATTTCCCTTTCAAGCCCGTGCAAAAATTTAACCGAGATTTGGGTAATCTCGCCGAGATTGTTTTTTGTTAAAATGTTGAAGGTATTACAATTCGTTCCAGTGCCACCTGGCCCTAAGTCGACAAGTGTTTTGTTGGCATACATGCGTAAAAGAAATTCAGTTGGTCGACAATTCGAGACTGAAAACTGAGAGAAACAGACAGTCTAAAGTATAAACTTCAAATATAATCTTTGTACGATGTTTCACCTGGGAGAATACTGGCGATTTGGCTATTTGCTGATTGGTATGACTGAGTATCGTATACGGTGTGTTTTTAATGCAATCATTAGTTGCTTTAGTTTAGTAAACTAGACAATTGATTCTGCTTCTACTACTTTTATCACAGTATCAATTTTAAACAAGAATATTAACCAGAGGTTTTGGATGGTTTAAAGGTTTTTGCTAATCGTTCGAATTAAGTGTCGCTTATTTTTGTTATAATGCATATCCATACATTTAATTTTAGGCCTCTAAACCACGCTCTTTGAAGGAGGCCTCATTCTTATGACAGTGTAAGATGGACCTTTGTCTCAAAGAGTTTAAGGGTGACCCAATAACCATTAGCATTAAACTTCAAAAACGTCTCTTACACTTAAGTAAGGATTTAGGAACCTGCCAGGGGGGTCGCACTCCCTCGTTATTATTATTATTATTATTATTATTATTATTTTTGGATTATTATTCTTATTGTCATTATTATTATTATTATTATTATTATTATTATTATTATTATTATTATTATTATTATTATAAAAGTAATCAAATCTTTTATTGATAACAAAGCTAACTATAAAATCCTATTTACAATTAATTTCACTTAAAAAAAACTATTCCGTCCAAGCACTATTTACATTATTCCTTTCGATTAAAAGAAGACACTTAATTTCGATTGAAAAATAATAATAATTATTATTATCATTAATTTTAATACAAAACTTTATTCATAGATTAAAAAAAAATAGACTATTTACAGATTCAAGAATATGAAATATTAAAATATATATTATATATATAATATATATATATTATTATTATTATTATTATTTTTATTACTATTATTATTAATGGCTCATACGGGGAGGCTGCGCCCCAATGGAAGGTACACGAAAGGGGTACCTTTTCTTTCAAAAATGGTATATAAAAGGGTGAGGGGTTGTCTGTTAAATTTTGTTGAGTAACCCCCCGGGGGGAACCTGAGTTGTGTAAAGTCTGAGCACGAGCGATTTTTTCTTAAAGGGACAGGTTCACGGTTCAGCACATGCTTAATTATCAAAATGCTGTTTTTTCGCCGCGACATGCTGTATCGTCTATGCACGCAATATGATCATGTCATAATGTTGTCAAAGAACCAATCTGCGCACTGGCAGTCACTTGCACTTGATCAACTTAAATAATTGCAAATAGCTGTAAATTAATCAACCACGGAATAAAACCTTCGGGTCAACAATAAATTCAACGTTGATAGTGTTGGCATAGTCCACTAATTTTTTCTGCGATTTTAGTACTCCTCCATCCTACTTCAGGTTACTCTGAAATACAATTTTACTTTGAAATACACTCTGAGATCGCTGAGATACATGTGAGTTGGATTATTAACCAATAGAATTAATAATAAATTGGAAAATAGTAATTTAATTAATGAGCATGCGCTTAACCGTGAACCTGTCCCTTTAAAAGAGACCTCACTGGAGTATTAGCTGAGGAGGCATAAAGAGTTTGTCATTTGAAGCTCACTTTACTAAAAGTATTCCAAGGAAACCATCTTTAACTTTTATTAAGGGGACTAACAACATGGATTGCTCGCTAATATTCGTTTCCGCAAAATTGTGTTAAACCGCTTCTCAATTAGTATTTGATTTTGATTTTGACCCAATTCAGAATTTTGTACCTCCGAGTCAGATAGATATTCCCATTTTTTGTTTATATTTAAGTGTTCTTAGCCTGGAGAACAAACTATTTTTTTGCGTCTTTCATGCGAGCGCGAAGCGCGAGACCGCGAATAAAAAAAGCTTGTTCTGCAAGCTAACGTTTTCTTTGAATATGTTGTTATGTCCTTCAACACACGTTTTTTGTGGTTGTATTGAAGTATCTTGCCTTGTACACTGTTAAGGGCAACATATGTCGAGACTTGAGAAGTCACGGCAACAAGAATGACAAAAACGAAAAATGTTTAATAAGCAACGCAACAACATTGCACGTTTTTTACACTTTTTGATACATTACTTTTTCATCACTGCAGGCCTAGGAAGTGAACGTTTTCTTTTTAAAATTTTACTATATAACACTGAACAACACATAAATCAAAACGTACAAAATCGAACAGACATGATCTTTAAGAGTCAAAAACAAGAGAAAAATGTAAAAAATGGTCAACACACTAGGATCTGAGTCCAGGTTTTCCTATGAGAGATAAAAGTGAAAACTAAATTAGCTTGAGCTGTTCATGTTACCAAGTCACTTCACTTAATTTTGACAAAATTCAATTCAAAATCAGTTTGTGATGAACACTTTGTGGCGATCGGAAAAGGAAAAAAATTCGCGACTGAAAATTAGCTTAAAATATCGGTATGGTCGCCGAAAACCTGTTCGAAGTCCACTATATGTACACTATATCCACACACTATCGTGCCTTTGCTTAGCCAGAACAACAACCACACCAACAACCTTTATTATTTACATCCAACTAAACAGAATTTTAACATTCAGTTCTTCGATGGCTAATGGAAAGAAAAAAAAAATGTTACATAAGATAGATACATTATGATAAAAGGATGTCTAGCACGAAAACATTTGCTAATTTAGCTCCTAGCTCCTAGCTATAAAGTTATATCTTTAACACAGTGGTGACAGGTATAATAGTAGCAAAGAAAAAACAATAATTAATAAATAAATAACACACACACACTATACATTATATAGAGAGAAGAACGAATATGGTCAACTTTCAAATTGTCAATGCAGTAGATATTTTTTTAGTAAGTATGGGAAGGAGAAATTGGGAGGTCTTTCAAATGATGGGGAAGATCTTTCCTGAGGTCAACAGCTATAGATTGAATTGTCAGTGAATTGTCACACCAAGTCAGCGAAAATCTTCAGTTTGTGATTAATATAATTTTATGTTACAGGCTTGATAAAAAAGTTAATTGCCTAGCTTTGGTGCGCTTACCCTTGGCCCAGTAGGAACTTGTGGACATGATATACCGCTAGAAGAAAGGATATTCAAAAGCAGTTAGTATTTTGAAAACTTTTATACCAAGTAGATGGAGATTTCTGCATATCTTGAATTAAATCACAATTTTATGAGATACAAAATTCAGTTGAGGAAGGTACATTTACAGAAGTAGTCATTTGTTCTCAATGAAGAGAACAGTTTGAATGAAAATATTCTGAATTTTGTCAACTAGAGGACACGTAAAATAATTTGTCACTAACATTTTATGCATGGTCGAATGTCCCCCACCCGTATGTCTTTCTTTCTTTAAAAACGATTAACTTCTCCACAACGTGCAAAGCAGTCACTGGACATGATGGTCAGCGGAGTTACCAAAATATCCCCTTTGATGATTTGCGTAGCAAAAAGAGAGAAGTACTACAGAATGATTATGACTGAAAAAAACTAAATTGTTTTTGACATTAAATTTGAGCGGCGCTTTAATTCATTATTGATTTGTGGTTGGCGAAATAACAGGCAGTGGTCCTATTATTTTAATTATGAGCCTTTGTAGCTCCTTATATTATGACTGAGGTGAAGATATAACTATGGTTTGGGAACAATCTTCGTTTTTTTGTACTTCGGACTTTCTTACCAAATTGGGTTATGTCCACCACCGGGTTCCGTACATTGACGCACCAAACGCCCTCCGTCAGTGTACTGCTCCTAAGGAAAAAACCACAATGTTTTTGTATCGCAGTTCTACAACTCTTGATTGACTCAACAGCACTCAGGATGACATGGCTACTTCAGGAAAAAAACTTGGCCTAAACAGTTCAGTATTTCGACAGCCTGTTCAAGGCTGTGCTCTAAGGAAAATTGAAGGGTGCCCAGTGCTCTGACCGTGTAAAATCTAGGCTGCCCAGCATATGATTTGTATGTTAAATCTGAGATTTTCTAGTCGCCCAGGAGCAAAAGTTAGGCACCAGGGGCCACCGGGCTCTGCTAGAGCACAGCCCTGCTGTTACACGGTGTTCGGCACTTTACGTGTAATGTTTTTTTCAAAGTTCGCCTGAAAATGCTATAAACTGTCGTTAATTTGAGAAATCCAGTCTTAGCAAACTCTTATTGGTTCTATGGGGTCAAATTATCGCTCAACTTGTAACCTTGTTACCTCCTCAGTTAAGTGCTTTTTCGACGTGGTCCACATCTTTTAATGGCCTTAAATGCTTTTAGGGACGTGATTCTAATGCTCCTTTTACTATGAAAGTAATATTTCAAAATAAAATGCAAGTACGCCTATACTGAAGGGCAAATTAGGGATTGGGTGGTACAAGTCTATTGAACACAAAATCATCCTTTAGTTTTAGCTTATTTTGCGCCCAAATTTTTTCTTGCAGCTGGGTGTACTGTCTTGATATAAAGTCCATTAAGATTATGTTGTTTAATCAATATTCCTTTTCTTTAGATGTCACTGAAGATTTACCAGAATGACATGCAATGTTTCAGGAAGACAACAATAACATTTACCTCGTGACGGTAGCCGGGATCTGGAGCGGCTTGAAGATCTTGAGCAGTTTCAGTGACGTCATCTTCACTATCAACACCAAGTTATAAAGGCGAAGTAAGCTTTCACAGTTTTGCTTTTGTATATCAGATTGATTCCTAGCAGTAAGTCATTTACTGATTTATTCATTCGTTTATTTGTTTCCTTGTCTTTCTTGCCTACTAACTTACTAAGTTGAGTAGACATCAGTTACATTTGGGAAAGGTTTGAAATAACGGTTTAAGTTTGCAGGGAAATGTTTCGAACAGCTTATATAATAAAGATGGCGAGAAAGCCTCCAGAAATCGCCAAGCTTATACAATGTACGGAGAATTACTCTGTTATTGAGAAATTTGCAGGATTACGACGTACTTGTAGGATTTTGAAATATTGAATGATTGTCTACTTTAGGATGGAAGCTTCTTTCTGGATTTAAGAACGTTTTCGATGTTATAGCATTGTTGGGCGTGGATACTTTTGAGTCTTGAGGTTATTTTCTATCAAACTTTTCAGTGGAACATGTCATTTCCATTTCTAACTTCATAAATTAAAACTGGTAAAATTATTGAAAAGGTTCCTAACGATCTTGTAACACTAAGAGAAGCAGTTCTTTTCAGTTGAGGGCCGAAAGTCATTTGCATTGATACACTACTCGATTTCTCCCCAATGTGTCATCTGCGTACGTGTGTCTCTAGCAGGCTTTGAAAAAATATTTTAGCTCTCTTTGGTTTTTAAGAAACCTGACTCTCTCTTCCAGATTGATTGATTCCCTCATCTTATGGTTGGAGTTTTAAATTGTTACTTTAAAAGAGGCAGGTGGCCCAATTTTTTTTAAAGGTGACTCGACCCAGTATTTTTGTAGACAGGTAGGCTTGCTTGATTTCGAAAGACTGGAAAGTATCTGGGTAAAAGTCAATGCTGAGCTCTTTTTACAACTAGGAGGCTACTCTCACGAAAACAGCGATAAAATCAAATGGCCTTCATGTAGAAATTCCACTTCGACATTTTTGTGAAACTTCGCTAGCAAAGAGCATTTCCAGACAAAGTGCGAATAAGGACTGTAATTCGATTAACAGCGAAAACCATTGTGACGTCATTGTTCCGCGGTATTCCGATCGCGAAAAAAATGATGTCTAATGTTGTAATAAAGTTGTCTATGTGTGATCCATGTGTTATAATGTAGTTACAATAAAGACCAAGTTATTTACGCATAGGAGGTCCAAAGGTGAAAGATATGCCTGTAAAAATACTGGCTCTAGCTACCTTAAAAGAAGCGCCAATACAAATATTCTCTTTTTAAGTGCAGAAATAGAGGATCTTTTTATTGAAAAAAGGCAGAGCTCGAGTAATATTTAAGGGTCTTTGTAGGTTTATAAACGAAAGCAACACACGCCGTATTTGTAGCCGAGCTTAGTAATAATGACTATCAGTGATTTTATACGTTAAATTTTTTTACTTTTTACCTAGTAGCTACTTCCTCCTTATCCTTGTCTTCATCATTTTTCTGCAAAAGAGCGAAAAACGTCGTTTGCAAAGGTTTTTGTCCAAAAGTCAGAAGTGAAGATGCAAATCTCTATGTACCTTGACGGAGTGATCTAACAATTCACAATCATTTCCACCATGATATCATTTTAATATATATGTTTTCTATTTCACTAACTTCGTCATTGACACGCGTACGTAAATATAAATAGATTTTAACGTGTGGCCGTGCATCACGACAACCGTAGCCAGATGTAGCACATTGTAGGTTAAAAAAATGATGTATTAATCGTTTCACGAAGTATAAACCTGAACAGGTTAGACAATACCTCGGAAGAGACCCAGAAAAGAAAGCAAAGGAATTTCAAATATTGATTTGAAGTCGTGAAATAGTCCCGTGCATGGAGTGCCTCCTTTTAAGGTGCTCAAAGGATTTAATAGCCTTGACTAATTCGTCTGCTAAAACGTTCCGGTTGTTGAATATCACAACAAATATGTTGAGATAACTGATATGTTTCTGTGTTTTGAACCTCGCTTACGGAGTTTTTATGTAACCTGAGGCAGTAAAACCTACACTCCACCCAGTGAAATAAAAAAATCCCTGTAAACTAAAAAGTTTTTTTTTTTTCAGTTTGATCTGTAAAGAGTTGATGGTACTCAGCTCATATTTCCTGTTATGTATTTAATCTTAGATTATTATCTTGCTAGTATGACGTAAGTGAAACTAGTGCAATGATTTAAAATTTGGCTCAATATTTGTTGGGAAATTTGACGTCTTTGTTATAAGGAAAAGCATGATACTATCGTCGATGCTCTTACCTGCTTTTCAGCCATCTTGAGTCTACAAGAAAAACCAAGCAAACTATTTTAAAAAATTGAAATTATTTCAAAAATTTGTTTAGATTTTATTTGTAACCTGTATTTGCAGAAATTTTGTATGTATCAATAATTATTCATTGAGATGCTTCAGTGGAGTATGATTGAGGAGAGATTGAAACCTATATAAGCAAAAAGTCCGAAAGAAGATAACGAAATCAAGAAATCAGCTGTAGTAGTTCAAAGCGTAGTAAAACTCACGAGCAAATTGCAGTCTCCTTAGTTCCCTCACGAGATAAAATCACTGGAGTCAAATAATTGTGTAGATAAGATGTAGTGGGCCAAATTTGACCATATAAGTTGTGGGTGTGAGGCAAATGGTGTAGTTACAATAAAGACCAAGTTATTTACGCATAGGAGGTCCAAAGGTGAAAGATATGCCTGTAAAAATACTGGCTCTAGCTACCTTAAAAGAAGCGCCAATACAAATATTCTCTTTTTAAGTGCAGAAATAGAGGATCTTTTTATTGAAAAAAGGCAGAGCTCGAGCAACACACGCCGTATTTGTAGCCGAGCTTAGTAATAATGACTATCAGTGATTTTATACGTTAGATTTTTTTACTTTTTACCTAGTAGCTACTTCCTCCTTGTCCTTGTCTTCATCATTTTTTTGCAAAAGAGCGAAAAACGTCGTTTGCAAAGGTTTTTGTCCAAAAGTCAGAAGTGAAGATGCAAATCTCTATGTACCTTGACAGAGTGATCTAACAATTCACAATCATTTCCAAGTGAAACTAGTGAAATGATTTAAAATTTTGCTCAATATTTGTTGGGAAATTTGACGTCGTCGTTATAAGGAAAAGCATGATACTGTCTTTGATGCTCTTACCTGCTTTTCAGCCGTCTTGAGTATACAAGAAAAACCAAGCAAACTATTTTAAAAAATTGAAATTATTTCAAAAATTGGTTTAGACTTTATTTGTAACCTGTATTTGTAGAAATTTTGTATGTATCAATAATTATTCATTGAGGTGCTTCAGTGGAGAATAATTGATCAGATGGATACCTATACTTACACCTAAGTTAAGCAAAAAGTGCGAAAGAAGACAACGAAATTAACAAATCAGCTGTAGTAGTTCAAAGCGTAGTACAGCTCACGAGCAAATTGGAGTCTCCCTAGTTCCCTCACGATATAAAATCAAGTTTTCGCCGCGCCTAGAACTCGGTGAGTACAAAGAACCAAATTTATACACGCCAAATTGCCATTGGAGTCAAATAATTGTGTAGATAAGATGTAGTGGGCCATATTTAACAATATAAGTGGTGAGTGTGAGGCAAATGGTGCAAATCGATTTGCAACCAGCGTGTCGTTGTGGTTTTACTGCACGGAATACGTACTTTTGTCTAAGCACCGCAAGAGTTCACCTTCAAGAGTTCACTTCACCGCAGAGTTAACGGCAGTCTAACAACAATAGTGTCCAATTAAGAGGAGTACACTATATGCATTTCAAATTAACTTAAAAGACATTACACGCCTTGCTGTGATTGTCTTTTAAAGCTCTGGAGTTGATTTTCATAGTAATTTCAAAACGTCTTGACAATAAGTAAAAAGGCAGTTTAAGGTTCCAGAATGATTCTGTGTAGACAGTTTTGCTTTGACTTATTGTCACAGACCTAAAGTTCCCGTGTTTTGCTCATGTGGCTATGAAATTTAGACCTTTGTGTAAGCTCAATGCATACTGTGCGATTGTTTGGTCGTGTGCGAGTGGCACGGGTTAAAACAACTGTTTACCCCAGCACAGCTGTTCCATAAATTGAGTCATGCGGCGTTTCAACGTGGGTGGTACGTGCCTCTTATTTATGGATCAAGCTTAAGTGTTGCAACTTCACTTTCTGTGCTATTAATTGAACAGTCATACTTTCCAAAAGAGGACATTGGTTTGTAATGTAACTAAAAAGACTTGGTGTTGACTCGACGGCAGCGATAACCATCCCTCAATAAAAGGAATTTGCGTTCGTTCAAACTTAAATCGCGTTTACTTGCTCACGTTCCAAACGTCAAGTGCAGACGAATTTTCTTGTAGTTAAATTTAAGTCAGTTCTGAAACCCAGTTCAAGACGAGAAAGGAATATTCGCGTCCTCCATGAAACGTTCCATTGGGGAGTTTCAGGTCGCAGTCGTGCACTGGACGTCGAAGGAATCTACCGAACAGTGGGGTTCATGTGCAGAACTGTTGCTTAGCTTAAAAATCTAATTGTTTTTTGGCGTTCTTGTGGACGTCTTCGTCGCGTTCTCTCCCTTTTATATTTAGTGTAATTACAGTGGAACTGACTCGAGTCAATCCGCGTTGTTTTCCTCTCGAAAGACGTATATATTAAAGGTATACTGAGGCTATGAAGGAACCTGAGAAATATTTCATGATTTATCGTGCAGAATCTTCACATACCTTGGCTCAGATCCCTCTTTAACTAGTTTAATGTGTAGTTTTCTCCTGTATGCTCCGCCAACCCGCTTCTGCTTTTCGTTGGGTATACATGTGCAGTACGAGTATCCTTATGCTTGCGCATGCTTTATAAAAATCGAACAGCCGGTCTGTAAGGACCGTAGGCTCGCGCACTTTGAAATGTCAGATGTTGTTGCGAATATAAGGTAAAGCATCATCCATTCTCCCAATACCGAGTCGTTATCTAAAATAACAAAAAAAGGTGAATTAGACACCATGTCAGTAAGCCCTTTCTTTATTGCACGCTGTTCTTTACACTCTCCTCCATCTTCGCAGCTTCATTGTATGTCAACGGTTTCCAATTGTGTGGCACGTAAGCCTGTTCAGAAGAGCATCGTATGTTATGGCTGTCTCTTTTATGATTTAGTACCCATTTTTTTCAGTTCTGCGTATTAGCCAAGATTCTCAGGCAGTGCAAATTCTGTTAAGGACGACGTCCGCTATGTTTCGCTGTACATCGCTTGACACTATCCGTCTGAAAGATTTTGTGAACAAAACGTAAAACGTCGAGCCTACCCGAATAAAAATACATTTTGCTGAGTCAATTTGTGTGTCCTGCCTCTCCACGAATTTAAGCTGCGAGCAGGAAATAGCAAGACAGAAAATGGTAACTCATTGACTCGTGAGGCTGAGTTATAACTTTTGACTTCTGCTCCAAATTCACCGTCCTCTACGTGGCAATAAAAACTCCCCCAAGCCTTTGTTTGTTTGTTTTTTGCCACTTCAGAGTACCGTAAGCTCTACCAAAGCAAACTGCTCTCAAGACGAACAGTTCAGCCATCAGTGCAAACTCAGATCATGGCTAAGTTTCAGTGGTTTGCCCTCAGACAGAGGACAGTAGGGAATGGTTAGTTCTGGCCGAGTTTTAGAACACTATCCCGGCGAAATATGACTTGACTTCTGACGACTACCCTCTTCTAGTAGAAGTGACGAAACAAGCGAGCGAGTAAACGACAGCTCTTGCTGCGCTGTCGTGTGTTACGTTTGATGTATTCACTCTAAAAAACAAGCGACTATTTATATCCTAAAAGCAGTCAGTTTTTTTAATATATATTCTGTTTTAAACCTGCCTCCGGTTGTTCAAACGTTGGATAGCACTATCCACCGGATAAATTACTATCCAACGAATAAATATTAGGGAAACCAATTACACTATCCACTGGATAGAGATTTATCTATAGTGGATAGTGTTATCCAGCTTTTGAACAACTGGACCCTGGTTTATCAGGAGCACCCAACGTCAATTCTCGGGAAATATCTGTTCGAAAGACGATTTGAGATCTAGAATTTTCGAAACATTTGTTGTAAAATTTCTTGCTTGCCTGCCTCTCCTAGGATTTTCGAACATCTAAAAAGTGGTATAATTGCCCATATTTAACGGATGTTTACCCTAAAAAGGCCACCTAGAATTTTCGGGAGCCCTTTTTCTGGCTGAAATTGTCGAAAAGGTAAGTCTTGACCCCTATAATTTTCGCATCACTAGACTTTCAGCTAGGAAATCCGAACCGATGAAAAATTTTTAGGGGATAAAAATATGCCTATATCTACCGTTTAAATACTAAAATACGTTCAACAATGTTATGTTTAAGCGGTTTTGAACTATATTCTCGTTGCGTTCCCCTGATTTATTGAAGATATTTGTCTTTTTAATTAGATCACGGTCTAGCGGATATCGTCGTTTCTGCGAAATACATATTGACATTCCATGAAAAGTTCCCCGGATATCTGATCTATCCTTGTCCTCTGGTGGAATACATTTTAAAGTATTTTGGTCGATGAAACGGGAATATTGAGAAGGTATGTCTGAATAACAAAGCAAATGAAACAAAAGATCAGCATCGTTTTTCGTAATTTCTTGCGAAAGAAGTTTGCTTGTTAAACACTAACTTTCCAAGACGTTTATTCCAAGATGTACTGCTTTCGATTCAGTGGTCGCTTGGAGATATTTACGCCTTTCTACCACTAACTGAAAATTTCATGGGAGTTAAATTTGTTATTCCAAACATAGTTTATAGGTAGTCTTTCCGACTTAACTCTTCTTTAATCCAGCTTACCTCCATTGCCTCAGTGCCTTCAAGAGAGGTTATCTACCAGCAGTTTCCGAGCTTCCTCGATTCAGTTATCACCCAAGTATATGTCTGGACTGCGCTTATAAGGGATAGCTTTCATACCTTCCATACATTATGCAAAATACTCGTCAAACATTGTCATATATAGGGCCTTTTTCGGACCGTCTTCAGGAAAAGAATCACATGGCCCAGCACCTTCAATTTGCGTACGTGATAAACGTTAGCTAGTGCTTATTTAGTCAAAAGGAAATCATGCATTCACTAAGGCATTTTTATATTGTTTGCAGGCAGCATGTGCTGAGACAGGTTTTGTTGAAGAAGCATTTTTTCGAGTGAAAGTGCGTTGGCGTTGAAAATTTCGAGCTCAATTTCATCTTGTTTTCTTGGTATATTCGTATGCAAATTTTGTCCTTAATTTTTAATCAATTTTCAATTTTCATCATTGTCTAGTTTTTGAATGTTTTAAAACAAATAACTCGATTTACAGACACAGGAGGCGATCAAAAAAAATACGCGCTGTATTCCGCCAAACAAAATAGTTAATGTTTAGCGGCCCATGAAGATTCTCTGCTTAACCGGCCACGGTCATTTTATGAATATATTCGAGATCTGCCATAGCGGAGTTGTTTACAACACCTGTCAAAACTGTGATTTGGTTTCCTAGCAAAACAGTTTATGATATTCTATTAACACATAAGGTCGATTATTTATATCGATGAATGTTTTACTACTCCTTTTTTTAATGCCTTTTTGACACTGAACTATTAATAACTAACAATTATTGATTGAGGCTGAGTAAGATTTGAAGAATTAGGCAGATCGAGGAGGCCTCGGCCTCTTCGCATCGTACGACAGCCGAATTCAATAATTGTTCTATTATTCATTCAAAATATTTGTGAGTTTTAAACATGCTTATCTCCTCGTAGGCTTTCTTCATAACTTTGGCCTTTTTCTCGGCACAGTATGAGAGGATATAAACAGGTGTATCTGTTGCATATGATCCTCCAAAAGTAGATAACGTTTATTGAGCAATATGTTTTGCGTACTTTGATGTTTCTTCGGTTCAAAAAGTCAGCCTTTCCGTCCTCGAATATCCGTGAACGCCATTTTTTTAGTTCAGTATTGCCCAAGCAGCCTCGTTTTCTATCAAATACACCGCCGTTCAGCCTCGTTTCCTATCAAATATACCATCGAATCGATGGTATATTGCTGGCATCTTCCATATATAGTAAGTGCCTGTCAGTTATGAAGAATTAGTCGGAGAATTGGACCCAGCCAGAAACTGCGAAATATTTTGAATGAATAATAAACAATGTTCAAATTAAAAATGCGTAAGAATGCAGTTTTGTTAATTCCCGGCTAAACTCCGATTTAGTACCTGACCGTATGCTGAATCATTTAGGGTACTTTAACAGGGTTCCGCCCTGAAGCTCCGGCCACCGGCGAAAATCGGCGATTTTATCATTACGGAAGCTACGTCTCGCACAGAAAGTAGTATTTACTTTGTATTTGTTTCCCAAAACTTTACTTGATGAAAACAAGCATATGGTATGAATTTGAGAAGCACATGTGGGTATATAAAAATGCCCTGCTCATGACTAAAAGTCTTGCGCTGGGCAATTCAGATACACCGAAATGCAACTTTAAATTAAAATTACATGATAGAGTGGCTTGGATGTTCTAGCGAGGTTCGACTGCCTTTAGTCCATGCTAAAAGAGTGGGTTGCGATCAACATTGTGTAACACAAGCCTCGTGGTTTCATTTAGGTTTCCTCGCCACTAGTTGTATAGAGTGGTAACATTTGAATATAAATAATAGATTTAGCCAATGCAAAAGGCGAGGCTCCCGTTAATAAATGTATATTTTACTTCAAACAATTACCTTGTAACCACTGCAAAGAGATCCAGAGTCTGCGATCAGATGAAAACTAGTAACTTGTCAGCAGAACACTTCAAAAAACACGTTCCTCGATAGGTCGACACGTAAGTCCACAATATGGCCATATGATACTAGTCAGCGGATACCCTGTTTAGACAGCTGTCAATTGATCACAATATGGATGTGCAATTTCAGGTTGCAGTCTCCCACACAAGCTAGAAAGTGTGACATTTCACATTGGTTACCCTGTGCTGCGTTTGGACGGACGGAAGTACAGTCAAGTGACTACCAAAATTTCTGGGATGGATAGATAATCAAAGTTTCTTAGCTATAGGGCTATGCTCGCGCGCGCGTGTGGCTTCACTAAAAAATAAAATATAGTTATTAAATTGACTCTTAATCCTGTTTTTTTCTCCCTCTCTCCTTCAGCTCGCATACCTTCGCTACCGTGTGGGCGCGTGAAAAGATACGGTGAGTGCGTTATGGGTCGTTTGGCGGCCTTCCACCACAAGAACAACCTCCCCTCGGTCCTAGCAAAAGTTGAACCAGTGCTTCGCATAATCCTAGAGAGAAACATGATTCTGCGTGCCACCAAGTAGCAAGAGAAATGGCAGCGCAGAAAACCAACACCTACCTTGATTAAAACCGCCACAGGCACCTAGGACAAGCTACACAAGAAGTCTTGGACAAAGTTTAATCGTAGTAGTAAAACATTAAAGAGATCTAGAATCACGTTTACGGCTAATGGCAAACGTCAATTTGTACCACCTGACCATATCTTCCCTATTTGCCTATGGAAAGATTTTATGGATCGTTTTTAGAGAACAAAAATGATTGTGTTCTTTGAATGAGGTGTCCTCCGAAAAGGAGTCCAAAGGTGCGGTTTCACTGGAGTTAAAACTATTCTAAAAACCTAAGGGATATTTAAAACCTATTACAAATACGGTCTCAGAGCAAATATAATTTAAACACAAATATTCCAACATTATGACAACATTCTCGTCAGTTCAGTGTTTAATTTGGGTAACGATCACGTGACAATTTTAACGCACCGTTTATATTTGGTAGCGAGTCAAGGTCCCTTTCTCTTTTCAATGTAGGACAGAATTTTCTTCATGACCAGTGCCTCCTCGCCATATGTCCTCTTGATCGTCTGTTGTTAATATTCTGACAGCTTCCACTGGATTTCTTTTTAGAGGCCTTGCAGTGCCGAAACTGTTTATGCTCTTTGTCCGTTATTATTTTTGCGAAAGGTTTTTTTTTAGAGAAGGAAAACAATGTTTTCGACAGGTTTAAGGTCGTTATGTGAAGTTGCTGGTTTGGTAAAGAATAATGGCAAACACAATTCGGCCCTTATAGCTTATTAGGGAATCCAATACAGTCTTGGATTCTGGATTCCACGCCGTGAATTCCGGATTCTAGGTACTGGATTTTGGATTCTTTGTCACTGGAACTTGGATCGTAAAAGGGATTCCCGATTCCTTGAGCTGTATTCAGGATTTCGAATTCCGCTGCAAAAATTTGCCGAAATCCGGATTCCCTTTAATACTTGGAGCGACACATTACTAATTACACAAGAAATAGTTCCTTCTTCATGTGACGCAGTTTATAAGGAGAAGGAGTTACTTTTGACAGATAAGTCTGAACCCAATGGCCTAAACCGATGTGACAAATAGTAACCCTTTTTTTTTCTTTTCGATGTTGTACGTCACTTCCGCCTCTCTCTCCTAACAATTGTATTTGTATTGCGACATTCTCCCTAACATTGTTCGTAATTAATTTTTTCAAAGAAAACTCAGTAACATTTGAAAACTTAAAGACGGTAGGTCTGGCCAGCCGAAAAATCGTTTGAAAATTTTGAAATACACGTTGTAACAGCTTTAGTGGTCTTTGGACTTCTTTTTTCTGTATATTGATACACAGTTTTAAGTTCAATTCATTTTTCCTTACACTTATTTACTAACATTAAATTACAGCTTTTTTTGTTTCTAGTTTTAATCCTTTCTATTTAATTTATGTTAAAGTGGCCAAGTATATGTAAACCTTTCGGTTTCTTAGTAATGTACAAAAAATTCAAACAGTCACGTGAGCGTTGGAATAAAGTTGTCACGAAAACGAAGACTGTATTTATCAGCCGTCAAAACATTACCTTCAACAGGTTATCCACGCGGCCCTGTAGACGCAAAATTGTTTCGCCACTACGCTGTGTTTTGATCGTGAACGAGGTAAGATCAGTTAAGGTACGATCACATTTCCTCGCATTTCTTTTGTACATTTTTAACATCATGGTAGATAAAACGACAGCCGCCAGTACCGACCGGGAAGTGGGGACAGCAACTCAAGACAACATGTTTTTGATGAAGTCCGTGTTTGCAGGCTAAAGTGTGTAATTTTCCGATCCCTTGGCAAGTTTTGATTGAGTTATGGTTCGCCAAAATTTTTCACGCACATCCAGAACGCTGAGTTCTAATACACGCGAACGATTTATAAACTCGCGGCGAATCTTAGTGTTAAATCAAGGTGTTAAGCATTTGTTTACGACAGTATCACAAATCTTGTTCGTATCACATGTTTTCCTATTATCTCACTGGTTCAGTCGTTTGTTGCAACCCAGTAAATTTAGAGGTCTTTTGTTCAGAAGAACATAATTTTTTTTATTTTTAAGTTTGAAATAGGCACTTCAAAAGTCTTGTTTGATATCAGATGTTATCAAGAACTGTGATCATTTGAAACAAAGAAACAACCTTCGTGATTCACGACATGCAAATTAGGTGATAGCTATAAATATCGCGGTGACAAGAGCTGCTCGTGACTACCTACTAACAGACTTTTGTCGAAACGCTCTAGAGAACGAGGCATCTACACGTTAGTTTATTAGATGCAGATAAGTGACCTGGTGTACTTTAATCTAGTTAGTCCAAGTTTCTTTCTCAGGCACGTAAACAAGCCACAACTGAAGCCAACCTGCGCGAATGTTAGCGACGCGAACGACTCCATACATCAGGTGATACCTCCTAAAAATGAAACCGGAAACAGGAAGTTTTAACTGCATTAAGGGTTTAATCACGTGTTGGTTATGAACGTCTGCATAGGACAACCTCGTTCCCAGGGTTCTCTCCTACACGGTCGTGCGTAAGAGGCTGTGGCTTGCAGGTAGTGACTAAATTGGTTTCCATTTTTCAGCAGATTCTCAAACAAAACATCTTTATCCGGCTTTATCTGGCCATTATTCCGAGGACTATGTTCATGAGGGCAAGTTGCCACTTTTATAAACATTGCTTCAGTCTGAACAAAATTCTTAAAGATATCTTTCCGGTCTAAGCGGGTATCGATATAGTCGGCTTTAGCTGTGTATTCTGATTCTATCCTCGTTACATTATTCCTTCGTCCACTGCACTGCCGTTCCTAACCTTGCGTCATTGCGTCATTTAGTATCGGGAATGAACAAAGGATTTGGGGGTTTTGAAATTTCGGAATATTTTTTTAGTTAGGAAAATTTGCCAAGTATCGTTTTAGTGCCTTGCAGCGTTGTTTTTTTTTTTTGGAGGGGGCGGGGGGGGTGGGGTTTGGGTATTCAAAACAATCTGAACTACGCATGTAGGTACCAAGCGCGCATGCCGGCCGCATAGTTCTGCCTTGCAACCATCGTGGTTATAGAGTATGGGCATGTTTTTTTTTTGGAGGTTAAATATATGTGGTCCAGGGATTTCTTGGAGTTTTGTTAGAAGCCCTAGGGATTTTTTAGGGTGAAGATTTCTGCCCCCTTTCGATCATCCCCATGTCGTTAACCCCGGAGTAACCCGACGGAGGTGATATGTCCCAAACCTCTGGCGCTGTCTGATTAGGTGCCCTTCCCTGGTTACGTCACCTAGGGCCCTTGATGAGCTTGTTAAAAAGAAACACACACGTACACACGTGTATCGTATGGTCTATTTTACTTCCGATTGTAAATTTCAACATTACTTTTGATCCGACTTGCTTTTTCTCTTTAGGTTGCATCATGGATAGAGGAAAACGTTACTCGGTAAGAGATATACTTATGATTTATGTACTCCCGCCTTTATTTCTTTTAGCTAGGCTCCATTCCTTCAGTTACATTTTCAAATCATTGGTAATACATATCTAGCCGATTTTTGAAAACGAATCTTTTTTGCGCTCGATAAGCTCGAAAATCACGCTAGCAAAGGAAAAGGAACGGAAAATAGAAAAATCGACCAGAAAGAAAGGTGGAAAAGAGAAATGGTTGCACTTTAAGTCTTTATGTTGGCTACTTTACACTGGAAAAAATACTGCTTTGATTTGGCGGTAACGTATCCGGCTGTATATACTGTCCTGTGTCCACACTTAATAATAGTATTAATAATAATAATAATAATAATAATAATAATGACGATTTGGAGGTAGCACATCCACAAAGTGGTTCTTCGTCTACCCAATTCCTGATCGAATTGGAATTTGAAAATGCTGGTTTTTGAGGAGAGGGGAAAACCTGAATACCCGGAGAAAAACCTCTCGGAACAAAGAAGAGAACCAACAACAAACTCAACCCACACATGGCTTCGACGCCGGGCCACATTGGTGGGAGGCAAGCGCTCTCACCACTACACCATCCCTTGCCCCCCCAAACTTTGAATTTTAATACTGTCGAATCTTCTGCGGGTGAGCGATAGTGAGACACCATGCTGTTCTTAACTTTATGAAGCGGAAAAATCCAATTTTGTTCTAAATTATTCTGGATGTAAGATCAGCCTTGCCCGTGCACAGTTGGTTACGAGTTTGACGTCGGCTAAAATTTCAGTTTCACAGGTGAATGCTGGGTGAATGTATTGAATCAGCGGACGAAGTTAAGTTGCACGACGAAAAATTAAGCGTCAAGTATTTTATTTCGGATTTTTGTTTACCATAGTAATCTAATCAGGCTTCATACAAGTTCATTTGTGGCTGCCTTTTTATCAGGAACGTCTTCAAAATTCAACGCGAGCCGGTTCCCACTTTGAAACTCCTGGAATCCGGAATCCACGGCATGTAATCCAAGTGCTTTATTTAACTACCATCAAAGGAGAAACTGAACTAAGTAAATTAGACTGATACACCTAAGTTCCTATTCTAGTAAATATGAACATTTTGGTTTACATGTTTATTCAGGATAGTGACCCCAAAGCATACTCCACTGATCGAGAAGAAGAACCAGTGCATCCTGGGTAGGTTATTTTCGCCTTGTACCACACAATGCTATGACGCAGCCACTGTTCTTAGTTCGCATGTTTCGAATTCGTGCTTACGCAATCGAGGGAATTTTAGGTAGAGGTGTGCCGCCGAGGGCTTCAATACTTCACCATGTTTAAGACGAAAATAGTTAGCATAGTTAATTAGCCTTTTTAAGACAAAAGACCTCGTCTTTTAATTACTCTGATTCGTTTAGTTTTGCATACAGAATAAAGCAATTTTTCAAACTATTATCATGGAATTAAATGTTGTGGAATAAAAAATGCTGATAACTGCAAAAGTAGACCACTCATCCCAAACCTTGACACTCTCTAAGGGCTTCCGGCCCAAAAAGGCAGGCTGTTCAATGCCCTGTTTGAGCCTCAACTGAGGTCCCGAAAACCATACTCTATTCAACGGCACATACCCGTTTAGGACAAATGAGGCCTGGGTAGGTTATTTTCGCCTTGTACCACACAATGCTATGACGCAGCCACTGTTCTTAGTTCGCATGTTTCGAATTCGTGCTTACGCAATCGAGGGAAGATTAGGTAGAGGTGTGCCGCTGAGGGCTTCAATACTTCACCATGTTTAAGACGAAAATAGTTAGCATACTTAATTAGCCTTTTTAAGACAAAAGACCTCGTCATTTAATGACTCTGATTCGTTTAGTTTTGCATACAGAATAAAGCAATTTTTCAAACTATTATCATGGAATTAAATGTTGTGGAATAAAAAATGCTGATAACTGCAAAAGTAGACCACTCATCCCAAACCTTGACACTCTCTAAGGGCTTCCGGCCCAAAAAGGCAGGCTGTTCAATGCCCTGTTTGAGCCTCAACTGAGGTCCCGAAAACCATACTCTATTCAACGGCACATACCCGTTTAGGCCAAATGAGGGAGCCCCCCTCCGAAGATGTAACCTTCGCATGAGTGTGGGTTTTATACGTTGTTGTTACAATTAATAGTTGATAGTTGTTTTCTTCTTTTCTCTCATGTTGCTTTCACCTATTTTTGGAATTAAAGATTACAATTGGATACGGCAGAGGACGAGGAATCTGAAAACTACCCCCAAGAAATGTTTCCTTTTGAAGTAAGTATTCAGTAATGAAAAGGAAGGCATTTCATTGAAAGACGCAATTTCTTTAAATAACATTCGGGACAATGTGTGTCCGAAGCTAGGTCACGATGAACAGTTTAACTCGACTGGGCATATCTTTATCACTGCATGGTAACTCCACTGATGAAGGGTCAGGATCCGACACGTTTGGAGTAAAACTCAAATTAAAACACGACCTTTTGTTCATTGTTTTTCTTCTTTTTGTTGAACATTCCCTTACTATCTTTATTATTGTAATTCATGTCAGAGCTTCATTTTTTTATTTGTAGGAAGCATCGCAATGTACAGAGAACGGAAAGCCTCTACGAAAGTGTACTGAAGAAACACTTGAACCTCGTCTTGTAGTATAGTAAGTTGATCATTTATCCATCATTCATCTCCATCATAATTTCCTAGTCATTTTGCATAATTACGCAGATGTTAACTAAAATCAGTAGAATTTTCAGAAGCAACAACAATGAGTGCTGACGCGCTTTAAGGTTTTCGCGGGAGGTTCCAAAAGCCCGTAAAGACTTCGAGTAATCAAACCTGCAATCACGAACCCACCTAAAGAACTTTACTGCGAGGTGCTCCGACGTCGACCTTTCTGTGCTGCACATGCAAAACTTCATTCGTACTGAAAAAACGAGCACCATCCTCAACCCTTTTATTCCTAGACCACGTTTGGAGAGCTTATTGATTATTTGGCACACTAACTTTGAAATCTGTAGAGGAAATCCTCTAATTTTACCATACAAATAAAACCTCTTTGTCAGAATTTGTGCACAGCAATATTTATTTGTTGCGATTTTATTGGTCTCTTTTGGGAAGTTTTTCTTCGGCCACTATTTATATTAGGGGTTAACGATCTTGTATACCTCAAAGTGATACTAAAAATGCGTATTTCTGCTTCCAATCTTAGCCCCCAGCCTGTAATTTATATGTCCCCCTTCTTCTAATACGCCCGTTATAAGTCTCGCATCATTTAAGATAATCCAAAATTGGATTCTGGATTCCGCGCCGATGGTTTTCGTATTCCAGGTGTACTGTATTCCGGATTCCTTGAGCTGAATTATGGATTCCAAAGCTTAAGATTCCAGATCCACTCACAACAATTTCCCGGATTCTGACATCTGGATCACCCTACATGGAGCGAGATCACTGAGGGTTCACTTGGAACATCATAGAAGCAAATATGTTTTAATAAAGAAGAGTGAAAATAATAGGCACACCCTATAACTGCATTCTTACGCGTACGTTTAGTTTTTTACACCCTTAAACAGTTTTGTTTCAGTCACATTTCAGTTTTAATTCTAAACTTTGTACTCGTTCAGGCTCCTGATTCATTTTGTGAATAATCTAAACTTGACAGTTTACCACCAAAAGTACCAATTAAGGTAGCGAGTGCTTCTTATAAATCCTACTCCGGAAGCAACAGCGTTTTTGAGCAAAGGGCGTCAACTGGAAGCCTGGACTTTTTGCATCATTGAGAAGTGGTTTGGTTGAAACTCTCGGGTAAATCGTCTTTATGAGAGAAACGAAAGTTATCAATACAAATTTGTTGGCGTCAAGGCCTAAAAAAAAACGGAAGGAGGCCTCACTTCCGGTTGAAGTGTGTCAACCGGAAGCTCCCTAATGTGGGATCAGTGACTTTACCCAATTTTCTTGAAATAACTCGCGGTTGTTCTTTTGCAGTGGAAGGCGAAGTGCCTGGTCAAGAGGGAGCGGTAACAAACCCAGCCAAGCTGAGAGACAAGTAAGCGTTTTCATTTTTTAGCCTTTTTTACGCCAGCCAGCATCTACTTTGAAACCCCTGGAATCTGAAATCTACGGCATGCAATCCAAGTGCTTTATTTACCTACCATCAAAGAAACTAAACTAAGTAAATTAGACTGATACACCTAAGTTCCAGTTTTAGTAAATATGAACATTTTCGCTCACATGTTTATTCAGGATGATGACCCCAAAGCGTTCTCCACTGATCGAGAAGAAGAGCCGGTGCATCCTGGGTAGGTTATTTTCGCCTTGTACCACACGATACTAGTATTGCAACCTCTTCTTAGTGCGGCGTGTTTCGAATTCCTGCTTTCGCCGGTTGGCAGAAGTCGGTGCAGTGTAGCCTCCTCAAGGGGGAGGAAGGGTGGGGGGGAGCTGGCAATCAAGGGACGTTTAAGTAGAGGTGTACCGCCTAGGTGCTTTAAGCCTTCACCCCGTTTTAAAAGACAAAAATAGTATGTTTCACAAGCCTATTTAAGACAAAAGACCTCGTCATTTAGAGACTCTGATTCATTTCGTTTTGGATACAGAATTGAGTAACTTTTTATACTATTATCATGGAATTAGATATTTTGGAACAAAAAAAATTGTGGTTAGTACCATGAATGTAGACTACTCATCTCAAACCTTGACACTCTTTGAAGGGCTCTCGGCCCAAAAAGGCAGGCTGTTCAATGCCCTGTTTTTTTGAGCCTCAAGGTCCTGAAAACCATACTCTATTCAGCGGCAGATACCCGCTTATAGAAAATAAGGGAGTGCCCCCCCCCCTCCCCCCACCCCCAAGATGTAACCTTGGCATGAGTGTGGGTTTTATCCGTTGTTGTTACAATTGATCATTAACAGTTAATTTCTTCTTTGCTCTTATTTTGATTTCGTTTATTTTGGGGTTTAAAGATTACAATCGGATGATACGGCAGAGGAAGAGGAATCTGAAAACTACCCACAAGAACCGTTTCCTTTCGATGTAGGTATTCAGTTATGAAAAAGAAGGAATTTCGAAGAATGAAGCAATCCCTTTAAATAGCATTCGGGACAATATATTTTAAATGAGAAATGTCTTTATGTGTATGTCCGAAGCTAAGTGTCACGATGAACAATTTAACTTGAAAGATTCGTTAATCTTTATTATTGTCATTTGAAAATGTCAAATTCATCTCAATTGGCAGTTGTCTTTAAAATTAAAAGCAAAACTCATACTTATTTACTAGATATGACAAATCAATTCAGGTCCCTCAGAGCTTGATTTTTTTTCTAGGAAACATCGCAGTTTACAGACAACGGAAAGCCCCTGCATCAGTGCACTGAAGAAACACTTGAACCTCGTCTTGTGGTATAGTAAGTTGATCATTTATCCATCGTTCATCTCCACCATAATCTCTTAGTCATTTTGCGTAACTACTCAGTTGTTACACTAAAATCAGTAAAATTTTCAGAAGCAACAACAGTGAATGCTGACACGGTTTTCGGAGGTTCCAAAAGCCCGTTAAGACCTGGAGTAACTGTTCTACAATCATGAGCCCCCCCCGCCCCCTCCCCCACCGCCTTAAGAACTTTACTGCGAGGTAATCGAACGCCGACGTTCTGTTCTTCGCAAAACACATTCCTACTAAATAAACGACTACCGTCCTTAACCCTTTCAATCGTAGACCACGTTTGGGAGACATTATTTGTCACGCTATCCTTGAAATTTGTGGGGGAAATCCTGTGATTTTACCATACAATGAGACCTCTTTTTCAGAATTTTTGCACAGTAATATTTCTTTCTTATGATTTTATTAAAAGAAGATTGGTCTCCTTTGGGAAGTTTTTCTTTGGCAACTACTTAAGTTAATCAATCAATCAATCAATCAATCAATCAAGGGGTTAACGATCTTTTTTGTAGACCTCGAAGTGATACTACAAATGCTTATTTCTGCTTCCAATCATTGCCCCCTCTCCTCAATTTATAAGTCCCCCTTCTTCTAACACGCTCGTTTTAAGTGTCGCATTATTTAAGATAATCCAAAACAGTCTCGGATTCTGGATTCCACGCTGTGGATTCTGGATTCTATGTAGAGGATTCCGGATTCTTTTCCAGTGGAACTAGGATTCGGAATTCCAATCCTTTGCAGGAATCAGGACTTCTTGAGCTGACTTACGGACTCCAAGGCTTAAGATTCCAGATTCCACTGGCAAAAATTTCCCGGATTCTGAGATCTGGATCACCCTACATGGAGCGAGATCACTGAGGGTTCACTCGGAACATTATGGAAGCAAATACGTTGCAATAAAGAAGAGTGAAAGTAATACGCACACCCTATAGCTGCATTCTTACGCGTACGTTAAGTCTTTTAAAACCTTAAACAGTTTTGTTTCAGTCACATTTCAGTTTTAATTCTAAAAAATGTACTCGTTCAGGAGCCTATAGGCTCCTGAGAACTGACTGATTTTGCGAATAACCAAAACTTGTCATTTCACCCACCAAAAGTGCAACTTTAGTAAACCTCAGTAGATCTTACAAGGCCCAGTCCAGAAGTAGTCAGAAGCGTTATATAATATGGTATCAGTGACGTAGCCTGTTCCAGGCGTTCAGATAGTAGGGGGCAAGTTACGCGGAAGAAAAGAGGGGAAGAACGAGGGGAGAGTGGGGCGAGAGCCCTCCCTTTTCTCTCTCTAGTCTTTCCCGTTTTTTTTTTCCTCGTCAATTTTCCGACCGCGCTCTACAATCTTAACGGTTTTAATGACGTTACCCCATTTTCTTGAAATAACTCGCGATTTGTACTTTTGTAGCGGGGCACGAAGTGCCTGGTCAAGAGGGAGCGGTAGCAAACCCAGCCAAGCTCGAGACAAGTAAGCGTTTTCATTTCTTGGCATTTTTTACATCCCTATACCAGCCTGTTCCATTCGTGTTCGTGTTTTCTGGTAACAAAATTAAAGTTGGAGGTGACAGATGGTAAAGACGTTAAACAACCTGTTTACGGCAAACGGCATATATAATCAGGTCACCATCTTACTTTTGACAATCAGTGTATACGGTTTTCGACGAGTGCTTTAACCGGACTGCGCGCAAGCTCTCCTTTTTGACTGGCGAGGGAAGCGAGCCGCAAGAGAACGCGCAGATATCCCCCAATTCACAGATGAAAAGCTTTTTTAGACCTAAACGAAAACTTGAGGGAGAGCTCTTTGTTGCTTAATTTTTGTTGGATACATACGTTAGTAATTATAGTATGAGCATATCTAATGTCAGTTACCGTTCTCCCTCTTGTCGTAAACCTGATAATTACGCTATGTTCACCCTATACCGGATAGCTTTTTGTGACGCCATCAAAAGGTATCCGGTATAGTATGAACACCTATCCGATATGTGACTCTCCGCTTTAGAGATCAATCAGAGCGGTGCAGCTTCGATTTGTCACAGAAATCGCGCCAACAAAACCATTTTTGCGTGTGAACAGAAGCCCTATCCAGTTACTTTTCTTTGGGGCGCAAAAGCTATGCGATATAGAGTGAACATAGCTTTGACCTGCCCAATGCCGTTTTCTGACGTCACTGTTTTTAAGACAGGACTCAAGGGCCTCCTTACAAACTTTAGATCGATCAAGTGAATTGTAGTTTTTCATGATAGGCTATTGTTTAGGAACAATACTCGCAGTATATTCTAAATAAAGCGTTAGCAAATAATCGAGACTAATGTCTTTTTATTTTCATCTGCCATTTTGTTTTCTTTAAGGTGGATGACGGAACTTTCAGACAGGCAGACAGTTTATTTGTCTTGACATTTCTGCTGTTTATCTTCCTACGGAATTAAGCCGCCGCTTATCTGGCCTGAGACTTGATTATTTTCCCTGAATTCCACTGGCTTTAATATATGAACTGGTAAAAGAAATAACGTACGTTTGGGACAGGTTGGAACAAACCCTATCTTCAGATAACCAACTTCTTCATTTTCTTTTATTGGAGTGAACCAAACTTTTACGTGACTTAAAGTGAATTATCATTTCTAATTTCTAATGCATATTCGTGTAACTGGATTTACTAGTTACTTCTATTGTTTTTCAAATAATGTGTAAGTGTCTTTTTCTTTCGAGAGTTAATAATACAGACCAAAGGAGTTAAAAAATTTTTCACCGTAAGGTATAAATATGGTTTCCGGGATCCTGGAATTTTTTCTTTTGGAATCCAGAATCCGGAAAATTTTTGCTAGTTGGATCCGCAATCCTGGACTTTGGAATCAGCGGTTCAAGTGAAGGAGTCCGGAATCCCGCAAACGATTGGAATCCCGAATCCAAGTTCCACGGAAAAGGAATCCCGAATCCAATAACTAGAATCCGGAATAACCAGCGTGGAATCCAGAATCCAGTTTTGAATTACCTTACATGGAGCGTCTGAGAATAGCTGAAATTACTTCAAGCTTAATAGGCATAACACGGTAGAACTATGTTACGTTATCAGCTTTTAAGAAGTGTAATTAAGTGTACCTTTTAACTATTGTATATATTTTGTGATTGATTATTAAGGTATTTTCACTTCCTGATTTTTCGCTGTTAAAACCCCAGTTGTTCAAAAGATGGATAGGGCTATCTTTCGGGTAAATCACTATCCAGCGGAAGGACAAGTGTTAGAGAAACCAATCGCGCCTTTCAGTAGACAGAGATTTATCTGGCGGATAGTGGTATCCATCTTTCGAACAACTGGGCCCAGGAGTGTAATAAAACCTGTTATTATTCATTCAAAATATTTCCCTGATTCTGATTGGCTAAAAGCACACGCATAAAACACCATAACCAGCTACTGACGACCAAATTTGGAAGAATTTTGGGTTTAATGAACCGATGGCGTCAAAAGTGCAGCTTTCTTGCAGGTTAATGCACCGTTAACCGAGAAGACCTGGGGACGGGTTTGAGTTGTTTTGGTTGTGAAAACAAAAATGACGGACTCGTTTCACTCGTTTCAAGAGTAAGAACTAGGCGAAATAATGGCTAAAAACATGGCAAGAACAGCAAGAAGGCAACTCGAAGGGCGACATCTGCTGTTTGGAGAATATTTGCGGAGCTGAACGACCTAAACGTGCACTATCGAAGATGAACTTAACATCGATGGAGGTAAGCATTTTTTAGCCATGTTTTTAAACTAGCTAGGAATATAGTATTTTGAATGAATAATAAAATAATCATTGAATTAGGCTTTCGTATCATATGAAGAATTATGGAGATCTCGGAGGGTGTTATCCGCCTCGGCCTACGGCCTCGACGGATAACACCTCCTCGAATAATAGCTAAAAACATGGCAAGAACAGCAAGAAGGCAACTCGAAGGGCGACATCTGCTGTTTGGAGAATATTTGCGGAGCTGAACATCCTAAACGTGCACTATCGAAGATGAACTCAACTTCGATAGATCGATGGAAGTAAGTATGTTTTAGCCATGTTTTAAAACTAGGAATAGAGTATTTTGAGTATTCCTCGATCTCCATAATTCTTCATGAGATACTCAGCCTCATTCATTAATTGTTAAATAAACACCTTACAACTATGTTATGTCATCAGCTTTCAATGATTTTAATTAGGTTAACCTTCTAACTATTGTATGCATTTTTTGATAGATTGTTAAAGTATTTTCATTATGTAATTTTTTTGGCTGTTAAAACTCCAGGAGTGTATTAATACCTGATAAAGATCGAAATGCTACAGTCTCAGACAGAAATAAATGGGACACTTCCAACGACCACTGTTTTTTTCTTTCTCGCTCATTTCCTCTCCCTCCCAATGTTGTAACTTCTAAATCTTGTATAGCAACATTTCGAAGGAGGGAATGAAGTCAGTAAGGTCGCAAAAATTTTAACTGAGACTATATTCAACGGCTTGAAAAAATGACTGCAAACTGTTATTTATTTACCTAAATTTTTCTCAGGCGAAAATTTTTTTCTCTTTTTGTTTCTTCTGAACAAAAAACAATGTGAAAATGGCAACCTCAAAGCTATAGGCCATTTCCAAGTTCTAAACTGATTCTCACTTTCAAAACGACGCCCAGTGTTATTCGCAGGAGAACTCAAAAATAGTTTTCATATCGATGGTTCGCACTTAGCCTCACTTTGAAACAGAGGCTTGGAGCAATTTGGAAATGGCCTATTATTTATTGCCAAGGTAATATTGTCTCATTAATTAACTGTTGATAATTGACAAATGATTCCTGTTCTTTCCTGAGAAACTGCCTTTTATAGAGCGCCCTTGTCTTAAATTTTCTTAAAACTGTGGTTTGATATTTGGTATTGTTTAAAGAAGTACAAGAATTAAGACAAAATCGAAAAGGAAAATAAGTAATTTTAATTTTCAGTGGACAAAAACCTTGTACCAGAATAATTTAAACAATAAATGGCTACCAAACCGTACGTTGATTTTTTTAAGTTGCCCTTCCTATTATAAGGAACAGTCAACGGCGAAATCAAACTCCTTCAAAATTGCTCAAAAAACCGCTTTTGAGGTAAAACGACGACTATATACCACAGGTAAGGTAATTCAACGTTTATTTATCATTGATTTATATACATAGTTAGCGATATATCGCTATAGGTGAAGCAAACGGTAAATCCAGTACATTTACTATAAAATAACGATCGGCTACACAAACAGATTGTGTGGGCTCCCTGTGGCCCAAGCTGGAAATATGAGCATCGGCGAACATCGGCATTGTTGCGTAACATTCAAAATATAAGAATTTGTATGGGAGAAAAAACCGATCGTTTCTGTAACCAACAAAAATGAAAGGATTTCAATGAAAAACAGTTTACCTTACTTAAAATGTGTGTTACATCTCTCCTGTGTGGTCCACGAACGGATTTATGGCCGTTTTATGGGTTTTTATGTAAACGGTTTTCTCTCTATATAAAGGTAAACCGTTACTGAGAAATGCTCTAACGTGACGTCAGTTACGTTAGATATATTGTGTGGCTGATGAGTACGGGAACATTCACTGACATAAATGTCATTGAGAGATTTTACTGATGAAGCAACTTTGCTTTTAAAGCGGTAATGCCTGAGTCATAACAGCCATTAGGCTCGATTACCAGCCGCTGTTCGGAAAAATGAGCCCGCACTCATCCCCCCGAAGGTCTCTCTTCGGGGAGGATCAAGACCGGACCCGGGAGACGGCGGAAACCGAGCCTAAACAGCCATGTGATGCATTTGATAACTCCAAGTACAATTAATAATCTGGTAAGTGTGCTTTCCTTCGCCTCTCTCTCCAAAAACGTTTTTGACCCAACTGCACATTATGCAGGAGTAAATGTCTGAGAACGAGCCCAATACTCAATGTACCTGTACTCATTTTCCTATACACTGTTCAAACTGGACTCGAGGGGTTTTAACGCTGAGGGCAGTGAAATGGTGTTGCAGGGGCTTATTCATCTATGTTTTGCACCAAGGCTTTGAGAACCTTTGCTAGCAAACCTCTCCTGCTGAATAACCCTTCCTATGTCAATTAAACTCGTGAGCCTCTACTTTTTAAGTCTAACGTATTCTCTGTGTTTGGCCTAACTTGTACTAAGAAAGCTACTACCTTTTTCATTCTCTAAGGAACGGAGCGAAGGCCCCCGACTCATACCGACTGTCTTGTGTATTAGTTAGATGTGTCTTGTGAATTAGTTAGGGATGCACGTCATGTTTTCCGAGTCTTCCATGCCAACTACACTTCTCTCACTTCACGCCATTGTGGTCATTATATTTGTGGGAAGCGGTGAGACAGTGAGCTTTTCGTTTCTTTGAGATCCATAACTGACAAATTTAAGTTCTTCAAGAAGCAGCTGATTATTTATCAAGAAGGTTACACCACAGAATGTATTTTTACAAATTTAAAATATATATATATATTATTATTATTACATATTTGCCCTTTCACGGTTTTCAGTTAAGTGATTTCAAACAGTTCGAAACAGTTGTCCAATAGAAGCGTAAATATAAAAATTAAAAGAAGTGTTTGCTGTAACAACACGTGTTCGAGTCCGAGTCTTCCATGCCAACTACACTTCTCTCACTTCACGCCATTGTGGTCATTATAGTTGTGGGAAGCGGTGAGACAGTGAGCTTTTCGTTTCTTTAAGATCCATAACTGACAAATTTAAGTTCTTCAAGAAGCAGCTGATTATTTATCAAGAAGGTTACACCACAGAATGTATTTTTACAAATTTAAAATATATATATATATATATTATTATTATTATTACATGTTTGCCCTTTCACGGTTTTCAGTTAAGTGATTTCAAACAGTTAACCAATTGAAGCGTAAATATAAAAATTAAAAGAATTGTTTGCAGTAACAACACGTGTTCGAGTCCGAGTCTTCCATGCCAACTACACTTCTCTCACTTCACGCCATTGTGGTCATTATATTTGTGGGAAGCGGTGAGACAGTGAGCTTTTCGTTTCTTTAAGATCCATAACTGACAAATTTAAGTTCTTCAAGAAGCAGATGATTATTTATCAAGAAGGTTACACCACAGAATGTATTTTTACAAATTTAAAATATATATATATATTATTATTATTACATGTTTGCCCTTCACGGTTTTCAGTTCAGTGATTTCAAACAGTTAACCAATTGAAGCGTAAATATAAAAAACGTGATAGCCGTTGTCATTCTACTACGACGTTTTACGAGAATGTCGTAGTGGGTAAGCGAGTTATCAAATGCTAGAAGTTTAATCATTTTCCGATTGGTAGAGGGTTTAAGCTCCTTTAATAAAGATAACTGTGCTAACTTTTCTGGTAAATCAAAAGTACAGTGAAGCCCTCCGGGGTATTTAATTATTGAGTTTGAGAATACGCGAAAAAACTTTTAGTCAAATGTCGTCCTCGGGCCGGTCCAATCTAAAGGCCTCTAATATAACATTCAATACACAATCAGATTTCAGTTCATTATACTCAACCCCGCGAAATGGCTGCACAGCACCAACAGCAAGATGTACCTAATCGCCTATTAAGAAATAATGGAACTGTGCCGGACAACCTAGAAAATAAGGTGAGTTTCGTAACTTCTTATTAAGCTCAGCTTATCAAGACAAGCCTTTTTTTAGTTTTCTACTTGTTCTACAATAAACGTAACCCTAAATTTATTTTCGAAATCAGCTTAAATCGGATCATTCAGTTGATGACTGATTCTCTCTTTCATATTCAGATTATTCATCATTACGGGATTTCCGAGAGACGAAGAACAATTGAACAATGTACGGAGGAAAACAACTTTCCAATAGGGTATGTACACACTAATGATCAAGTTGTTTTCACTGTATATTGTTTTACAATAGTAGCGAACTGAAAGTGTACCTGTTTTTAGAACAATTCGATCAATGATCAACTCACACACTCACTTCTCACACATTATTTTCCCTCTTTTTTACTTTTAATTTTTTGTCTCGAGGCTGACAAAGGCTGAACCAGCCGAGTGCAACTAACAGGATAAGCAAAAATTCAAAATCAATCGACTTTAATCTTATTTGTTTTCAGAAGGGGAGAGTCCAGTCAATGTTTCTACCATCTCGAGACTTCTTCAAGTGGACAGGCGAGTATCCTATCCCATATTAATTCTCTTTATAACTATTAAGGAGCTGCCATAAGTTCTTTCTTCATAGTCTGTTGAAAATACATGCAGCTCTCAGCAGGAACTGCGCAAAGGTTAAAGAATGTTACATATTCGCAATTTAAGAATTTGCTGTCGACTTTTATGGAACTTTAGATCTATAATATCAGGTTGAGAGCTCGGTGCTTTGTTGGTTCAGTTAACTCATTCGCCCCTGAACCCGTGCCCATAGCCCGAAAAATTTCCACGAAAAACTTGTGTCACTACCCACCTACTTTTCCTTTCATCTAATCCTAAGATCCTAAAAGCTTTCCCAAAACAATTTCCCACCATTATGAAGGCTACTAAATGCCCAACAACAAAAAAAAAAAGATGGAGGTAAGAAAGGCGAAAAAAGAGGAGAGGAGAGAAAGCGAAAAGAAAAGGTCAAGTGGACAATCTGCTGTAAACTGAACAGCGCTGTGGTAATTTTAAGCTCTTTATAGCCAGACAGTGACTAGAAGGCCGCTCGACTAGCCTCAAAACGAGTTATTCGACAAAATCCTCAGTGGTGAATGGGGTTAAATATGAAATGCACGTTATCACAGCTGATGGCCGGTCTGGTTGCAAAACAACTAAACGAACAATTGCAAAAACAACAACAACAAAACTGACAACAACGTTGTGCGCCAAAACGTATTCTAGTAAATTTAGTTACTGACTGGCCATCTTCTCTTTAATTTCCCTTTTTTAATAATAGAATTTTAGAGCATAAGCCAAGGGAAGATCCAGGATTTTTTAATCGGGGGTGGCTAATACCAACTGTCTACCAAACTGTACGTTGATTTGTTTGAGTAGCCCTTCGGTTGTCCAAAAACATGGCGATTTAGAAAGGATAAATTGGAGACCGTAACAATGCACCCCCTTGGATCTGCCCCTGTAACCATTTTAGGTAATCATTTTTACCAGCATCTCGCACCAAATCACCCTGCGAGCAGAACCAATAGAAAAGGACTTTCTTTGCTTCTACCAACAATTCCAATACTAGCTAAGGCCTAGTTTTCTCCAATGCAGACATAATTAATAACTGGTGTAGTTTTATTCTTGCTTTATTTCAGGTTCGAAGTGAGAACCTCAACATCAATATTGATACAAGGTCAAGAAATGTGCTGAAAAAGAGGAACATTTCTCTTGTCTGTGCAATAATAATGATAATAATCATCATAATAATTGTGTCAAAAACAAAATTATAGAATCTGATTGGTACTCAGTAGCCCTAATTTATTGCTTAATTTGGCTGATGCAGCTAGCATCAGAACTGTCCAATTTGACATGTGTTCGATTATTAGAAGCTGCTTGTATTAAAAATCGGACAGAGCAAATCGGGCAATTGAACAGCCAATAAAAATCGAGCGTAAAATGTTGCTGTCCAATAAGGTTTAACAAATTACCGTAAAATTCCGAAAATAACTTTCGGGAAAGAAATAGGTGATGCTTAACTTGAGTATTCTGTGATTAAATATTGATTAGAAATTGACATTTTGTAGCGCAAGAAGTTAGATTTCTTGACATTAGATTTCACAATAATGTAGACAAAGTCCGAGTATCATGTCACGATATAAAATGATGTAACTGCATGCATATTCTTAGGCTAAATAAGGTGAAAGAACGCGCGATTTTGTAATAGTCACTTAATTTAGATACATGACAATGGAAACGTTTACTGTACATGTGATTAATCTAAAAATACTGCCTTACGCAAGGATAGTAGAAAAAACCTGTGTATACTTAGACAACCTCGTCCCCAGGGCTGTTCCCTTAAAAATTTTTTTTAAGGGAAAAGCCCTGGGGACGAGGATGATACTTAGAACGTGCTAGTCGATCGTTGAGTTACGTTGATCGTTGATCGTTGTGTTATGACCGTTGAATATGTGAGAATTGTACTTCCCAGTAGATTGTTGGATTGGATCAAATCGTGTTGTTACATCGAAAGATACAGTCCTCTTGATTTGTTTGAACCAGCGAGCGGGGTTATAAGAATTCCGCAACAATAACCCCCTCCAAAGCCCCCCAAACTCCGATACGGTTACGGTAACGCAAAATACCATTTCCGATCGCCCCTCCAAATATAAGCCCTCCGGGGCGCACATTCTTTGAAATTGTCCTCAAATAATAATAATAATAATAGTAATAATAATAATAAAAAACAAAGCAAAAAATTAATGATCATGATATAGTAGCATAATCTTTTTATTTCCAGAGAACTATTCTGACGTGTACCAAATGACTGCAGTCAAAAAGTGTCACAGTTGATTGCTCCTTTGCATAGTTCACTTAGATTTCCTTTATTTTTTCGTGAGAACAGTGTACCTTACCTATTACTGGCATTCCCTTACCTTTGAACTGAGTATTGCGTTTTCAGCGAAGTAATTTGCGGTTGTGTTTTAAGTTTGCTTGCCTGAGTTTTAGAAAGACCTACATCTTCACGCCGAGTATCAGTAAAACCTAACTGACATAACTTTCCTGTCCAATCGATCTTGGGACGCACATTTCCTTTCAAGTATAAGCCCTGCCGATTTAGTAATGTAAATTTCCCCCCGCATAAGCCCCTCCAAGTTTAACCGCTCCAATAATAAGCCCCTCAAAAAGGACCTTTGAGAAATATAAGCCCCGGGGCTTAATATTTTTGGAATTTCACGGTAGTCCATGATGCCAGCAAATCAAAACCAAGAAAAAAATCTTCTGTGAGCAAGTTTTTGAGCTTCAGTTTGGGACGTTTAATGTTAGAAAAAATGTATTTAAAATAATTCGCGTAGATCGTTTCTCAAAAAAATTATTGTAAGCCATCCTTTTGCTTGGTAAGCTGATGTGATAACTTTTGTAATTAAACATAAACAGGCTCCTGAATTAAATAATTATTATAAACTTTGTTGAGATTCCATTCCCTTGGGTGAAAATCCTTCTCAAACAGGCGTACAGTGAAATACTCTTTCACGCAGTGTTGAACCTACGAAAAAGCAAAGCCATAACCGCGTTTCTTTCTGCCAAATAAATAGAAGAGAAATTTTGAACAGATCTATGAGTTTACAAATCTCAAAAGCGGAAGTTTCATTTCTTCACGCGCCCGCGAAATGACTTTGGCTGCGGTCTTTTTCCCGCCTCTTTTCCTCATTTCGTCGACGCGTCGTCCTCGATTATTCCTTGCGTGTGAATGTAGATTTCCGATTTCAGTTCATCAGTCGATTTCACATTTCGTAAATCCTCCTACCAGAAATTGAAAGGTAAGCAGTATATTTATGAATTTCTGTAGTTGTTGTTGCGATTTACTTAGAATGAATAGTTTCGAATCGCAACATGTGAGTCATGTTTAAGCCTACATTTTAAAATTTTCATTCATGTAGCGCAACTTTCATCGACTCGCGTCGCAAAGGTCAAATTTGTCTTTAGTGGTTATTTTCTGGCGTTAGCTGCCCAAAGAAGATATTCAACCGTTTAAGTCAAGGACAAATTTAACGGAGATCCACTTAATACGTTTAAAGCACATGTAAATTTCACACAGATGCGGTTGAACATAATAGACTGCACATCATGCGCTTACTCTTCAAGCTCATTTAAGCTTAAAGTTTGTCACTTAAGTTAGATTAGACCTAAATTATGTAGTTCCTTTAATTACTTAAATAGAAACCCTGCATGGTGGTCGGTGATCAAATATATATAATTTTAGCGAAGGCATAGCTATGTTTACTCGTACATATAGTTGACTTCCGCGCTTACGTTGGACAAAAGCCGAGGCCAATATGGCCGATTGTGTGACACCGAGACACCATAAAATTATTTCCTCGAATAAAAACAGCCGGGGGTAAATATTATTTTTTTCCCCACCAATAGAGGGCGATTATTCGAGGGAGGCGATTATTATTTTCAAATATTACTCACTGGAAGTCGTGCACTAAAATATTTTGTTTTATTATCCCATTAAATAGTAAAAAAATTATCCTATCAAATAAACTGAACATGGGCTTTTTTAGTGTTCCAAATTTGATTCATTGATTAATTTTCAATGTCAATAACCTTGGCATCAGAGCTTGAATCATCACTGATCAGCTTTGCTGAATAAAAGAAAGGAGAGGGGTGGGAGGGGGGATTATTCAAGGAAGGGGATTATTTTAAGTATTTCCGTCAAGGAGAGGTGATTATTCAAGGGAGGTGGTTAATCGAGAGATGCCTATTATTTGAGGAAATATGGTACTTTGCTTTCATTAATGAGTTACCCCCTCCCGCCTTGATGTTACCTCAAGGTGGACACAATGTAGATATGCCACTGATTAGTTTCAGCTGTGCAACTGCGTAAAATCATTTAGTTACATTGTACAATTCCTGCTCACAGGGAGAGTTAATTATCCATTCACAAAACATTTACATCTGTGTGCTTAGTTTAAGAATAATAGTGAAACTTGGTGCTCATGGATTTTATTGTACCATTATTTTATTACCTGATAGATCTTGAAGTTTAAGATAATGATCCCCGGTTTTACATGAATTATACTACTACATGAGAAATTTCTGCAATTTGATTGGCTTAGAGCAGTGGTATTTCAGCTTAATTTGAAATACCTGCATGTGAAAATTATAAAACCTTTGTGGGTAGTAGTATAAACAAATAATAGCATGATTTGTACGTGATATTTGGCATAAATACCACTAGTGATATTTCAAAATTGTCTCAAATTACGTTTAACAATTTCGAAATATCGTTCGTGGTATTTATGCCAAATATCACTACAAATCCTGCTATTACCTATTCAAATAGTTCAGTGGAACCAGGCCTTACGGCCACCTCAGTAATACGGTCACCTTGTTATTATGGCCACTTTTTTATGGCTCGCCCGGCAAAATGCCCACTCATTTTCTTGTAAAAAACCCTCTTTAATATGGTGACCGTATTAATGGGGTTCCACTGTACTGATATTATCAAGATAAATTACTGGAAGCAAATATAGCTGCAATGTTTACTTTTAATAGCCTACATTTCAGACGTACCCTCAAGTTGCACTTTCAGGAGTATGCGACTTGAGGGGACGTCTGAAATTCAGGCTATAATAGTTACTCATTTCCATTCTAATTACCAGTACGTAATTGTCTTACATGTAACTTGTTTACATTACAGATCTCAGGTTAGGCCTGGTCATTTGAGGTAGTACCTTCAGTCCATACAGTGTCTGTGATGTTGGCTTTCTGAAAGTAAGTCTTATTTTGATGGTGCTCGGACTTTTCAGTGAGGACTGGTAAACATCAACTACGGACTGCAGCATCAAAGACTAGAGGGTAGGTTATTTATTTTCTTTAATTAAGGAGTAATTTATTGTTCATCTTATAATTCTGGTAAAAATTAATGCAGAAATTCTGTGTAGACTAAGCCAGAGAGTGTCATTCAGAAGCCTCAAAAGGCATGAGGCAGACCACTAGTCCTTTTACAAGCTTGGTTGAGAAGTTGAACTCACAAATGCTGAGAAACAAATGTAGCTTGTGGTGTGAGAATGACTTGAACTCAGGACATCAGTCCAGTGCATTGACAACTCAGATCCTTTCCCTCCTGTAGGTGTCATGTAGCAGCTCTCCTAACCCTAAAAGCCAATTGGTTCGATACCCTAACCGTGAAACAATGAGAAATAATGATAAGCAATGATGTGTTATTGTTTTTTGCGACCAATGAGAAAACAACTTATGAGCAGCTCCTACTTTACAGCTCCTGTTGCTCTTTGATTGACCCCCCCCCCGCTCAACCACATCAGTTATATTTCTAAACCAAATAATGCTTTCTTTTTGCTGTTTTTATTAAACATTACAATAATAATTGTAATAATAATATTCCTGAGCAATCCAAAACCTTTCTCAAAATTTTTTTGATACCCTGAATTATTGTTCCTTGTATTTATTCAACTGTTATATACTTGCCCATGCCAGTGCAACTTATATGATGATGATGATGATGATAATTATTACCATGTTATCATTATTATTATTACTATTATTATATATTACTGTTACTATTATTGTTATTATTGTTGTTATAATTATTGTAATAGCAGAGTTTTCATCTGGATGCTAAAAGCGTAAAGAGCTGCACAGGGCACCCAGCTTAACCTATGAGCCTAGGAGTTAAAAAGAAATATAATCATCAAAATAAAAATATCTGTATAGAGTGTGTAAAAATATCTATACCTATTTTTATACTCTAAAACAATCACAATGCAATCGTCTTTCAATTAACAAATCAAAACTTGGCCTAAGCTAGATTTAAAAAGAAAAAAAGTTGGAAAATACAGTCAATCATCTGTCAAGTCAACTTTAAATGTCTGGGTAATATTGAGCCTGACAGCACTGCCTTCTGCGTTGTTTTTAGCACCTCTTTACTTCTGCTCCCCACAACCTCGTACATTGTAGACTTGTCCATCTCCCGATGATGACGATGTTGGGTTGTTTCACTTCGTAACCAGGGAACTGCTGCTTTAATTCCCAACGTAGGGGGACATACTTTACAGTCTTCTCTTTGCTCTTCTTCTCTCTGTTACTGACCCACGGACAGCTCATTTTGAGTGTAGTGACCCGCTTGGTCTTGTGGTTGACGATTCGAGCGTCAACTCTGTTGCGTCTCACATCTTCAAAACTGGCACGTCCCAATAGGCTTGTACGTCATCCGACTCGTATGTAAACCTTGGCTTGGTCGGAGATTACCAGGGAAGAATTTCATCTATGAGTCCCAGATCATGCAGCATCTCATAGAAAAGTACCTTTGAAGCAGAGTCGTGTCGGGAAAGGTACATGTACTTGTTCTGTGCAAGCGCACCACACCCAGACAGAATGTGAGCCACTCTTTCTGGGGCCTTACCACGCAGCCTGCACCACGTCTTGTATGGATCTTCTGACTTGCATATAATCGAGTTGGTAACAGTTGTTCGTACAGCTCAAACTTGCCGGCGATTTTGTGTGTTGGACAGGACTTCCACTCTGTCAGCCACCAAAAGCATCCACTAGCGCTCAACTTCTCGTCCTGTAACCTAGTTGTAACGAGACTTCCCTACCATCGCTGACTCTAGCTTCTCTACTCGACACTTCCGCAGTTCCGTCTTGACTTCACGGGGATGTTCGAGATGAAGCTCGACACCAAGCTCCTCCGCGAACCCAGACGCTTCTTTAACCACGGACCTCCGTCCCATTTCCTCCGCTCGCTCTTCAAACTCCCGCGCCATTTGTATGTCTCCATTAGAATAGAGTCTAACAGCACCATTAATTTTCGTGGCTTTATGTTCCATCTCTATCGAACGTAAACCACTGCCCCCCTTCTCTCGCGGTAGGTAAAATATCAGCCACAGGGGTGCCTTCCCCCGTTCTCAATAACAATCTGCCGAGCTTTCTTGTCGATCTACTGTGTATCTGTTATCGGCCTGCACTGTGGCGTCCACATAAGATAACCAAACACGGGCAAGGCAAACTGCGTCCCGTAGAATGCAAAGATCGATTGATCGATCTGAAGATTTTTTTGCAGAATATCTCTTTGTGTGATTTCTGTGGCTGTTGGTTGACGGCGCATATTTCTTTTAGTCTTTGTTGTGCTTGACCTTAGAAGGAGAATATTTCAATTCAGTAAACTGTAATATAGAGTTTGCAGTCTGTCTTCAGATTAACTGTCGACGCATATTTCTTTTAGTCTTTGTTGTGCTTGACCCTGGAAGGAGAATATTTCAATTCAGTAAACTGTAATACAGAGTTTTGCAGTCTGTCTTCGGATTAACTGTCTGGTTACTTAAAGACCCAGAGCCTCATTGTTCCTCGTTGAACTGGGACTCATCGGTTCTGGAGTGGGACTTATGTGATTTTTCACAAGATGAGTACCAGGACTCACCATAACTATTTGTAACATAATCACTCTGCCATTAAGGTTGTATACGAGGACGGGGGCATTGGTTGGCTTGTCCGGTCCCCTCTGCAAACTTGTAAAAAGTAAAGGTACTGAGAAGCTTCTCATTTTACGTCGGAAGCTCAAAATAGCCATCATCTGTCTAACATTTTTGAGGCCGACGTTGCACTCATCTTACCACCTTCTCTCCATCATTGCTCCGTTTATTTAACGCGTATTTAAAGCCACTTTTAAAAGCTACAAGGACAGGAGAGAATTTGATACAAGGATTTGGGTTCACACCCGGGAATCGACTTTTTTGCGACCTCTTGCACAAAAGGCCGCGCACTATCCAACCCTGTCAATCCTTGCTCCTTGTTTTTCTTTGGCTCGAAATGTATCGCTCAGCGTGTCTTAGTGTTTCGCCTCTTGTTTATTTTTCACTGGGAAGCATTTTTTTCAATGCTGAGTTTGAGGTGATGTTTCCGTCTTAGCAAAAATCTGGTAGCGATAAACAGGTTTGATTTCATTGATGACGCCATTTTTTCGCGCCACTCACCAGTATCTTAAGGTAACGCCTGGAAAAGGATACACTCCACTCCCCATAGCTCAAACCCTCGCAAACTTCGCCTCGCGCTACCTCGAACCAAAATCGATTTCCCCTTGAATTCCTTCATACATTTACTGTAATTTTACCCTCGGTAAATCGAACTGTCGATAATTCGAACCTCTTGCTAAGTATTTTTTGTTTCCCTCAGATCATTTCTATATAATTTTACCCTTGATAACTTTAACCATGTTTTGAGCCCTTAAAAACCTGAAAAAACAGTGTACTGGTGTCCGGAACATTGAATTTTGAATTTCCCATTGACGTGTGGTAGGCTTATTGTTAGTAGTGGATGTTTTTTTTTATCTAACGTGAATAGCTTTACTTCTCAAAACAGTAATACGCATGCTCTATTAGGCCATATTTTGCTAAAAAATACGTTACGTGTTGACTTATAACCTAGAAGTATCGTTCAATTTTCATTAAACATTAAAATGTTCACTGTACATTAAAAACTGTTTTTTTCTTAGTTCCGGCTATTTTTTTCGAACTCCTGATAACTCGAACTTTTTCGATTTCCCTTGATGGTTCGAGTTATCGGGAGTCGACTGTATTTACATTCAGCATCTACCAGTTTGTTTATGTTTTCGAAGTAGTCTTTAAAATCGCATAATTCTCAGTTAAATTTTAGATCAGTATCTACTTTCGCTGTTGCTTAATAAATCGCCACCATCCAAGTAATTATTTATTGACGTTTTATGCACACTGTACCCTACTGCAAAACTACCAAGACTGAATTTTAACCGAATTTGTGGCTAGTTTGCCATCGTTTCTCTCCTGCTGTTAGCATTTTCACACACAACCGTTTTTAGGCTCCGTGAGTACCTACATGTATTAACAAAACGAATTCCATGCTGTTCGTGTTTTTGCTAGGAAACGTTATGCTCTCAGTAAGTGCCTGTTGTAATTGACGATAATTTGTTTGTGAGCCTGTATTAATTTGTGATAATTATGATAATTTCTTTTGTGTTAAAAGCGGGAAACGTGGCCTACTTCATAGAAATGGTGATGTGAGCCACAGATTGAATTAAAAAACCAATACACCTATCAAGTAAAGTGATATTGCTGTAGCGTTTGCCCGACTTAAGAACCTTGTTTACTCTTACCAACACGCTGCGTGAAAGTAATAAAGCAGCCCTAAGTTTGCGTTCATTGACGCAGCGATCCGTTGCAGTTCTTGAGGTGCATTCCATCTGACTTTTTCTTTGTGTCTATACTGAAATCCGTAACCTGTTGAATGTCTTATCCCCACGATCTCCAAATCTCTTTAAAATTCACTTATTGAAAAGTGCACTCTGATGAGGTTCGGACATCGCTTAAGGTCAACGTCAATCAATGTTATTGCTTGTTTTTTTTTTCACTTTTCGGGTTTTGCTAACTTTAGCTCGGAGCTCTGTTTACTTTAACCCTTTATTCTCCGGCCGAGTTTATAAAGCCAGAATTAATGAGTAATTTCAAATTTAGTGGTAAAAGTAATCCTCATGCCAAAAGTGTGCCAGTGAAGTACTAAAGAGATGTCATTCGAATGGTTTCAGGATTCTGTCTCCAAGCTGAAAAGTCATGATACCAAAAGCTCTGATTCTCTCCAATGTATTATGTAACAGGGCTTAACCCTTTAAGTCCTAACAGTGACCAACATCAATTTTCTCCTAGCGATATCCGTAGATTGTCAAGAGCAAAGTCTATGAGAATTAATAAAATGATCGCAGAGAGAAAAATCTTTGATATGTTATCAAATTCTCTCAACTAATTCTTTAAGGAAATGTATGGAGATCAGTCCGGAGAATTTGTATGTGGATATTGCGGCTTAAAGGGTTAACTTACCTGGCCCTATTACAGTTGTGATTCCGGTCGATTTGCGAGACCTACATCTATCTCGAAAAATCGTGAAATAAAATAGAACGGAATACCCTAGAAATGGTTAAAATAAACACTCTTCCCTGAAAACATACTGTAATTGAAGACCTTTAAGGAAGGCCCATCCTTGGCAGGTTATTGGAAGGAGATATTTACGGCGAAATTGTTGTAGGGGCCATTGGAGGAGCGGGAGATCCCCTTGTACACCAGCTTTTGCATTACCGCCTTCTGATTGGCCAGAAAATAGATTCTGGCCAATCAAACTGCGGGATTTCAAACGATTTTGGAACTGGTTACCTGCCGATTTGCTGCCCGATAGTCTCCGAGGGACGAGGGAAACTTGTTTTCTTGAAACATTACGATAACTTTGCACCAAATTAGTATCCCATTCTCAAGAAAGTTATAATGTTAAGCTTCGGCCGTGAAAACCTTTGCATCGTATAGAAACCTGTGACCCGCGAACTGAGGACTTTTACGGCTTCTTAAGCCAGACTCTTGACGCTTAGTTAATTTACGGCAGCAGGTCTGAAGGTAAGCGGAGAAACATGAATTATCCTGAACGTGGCAAGGTGAAACGCTTCGGCAGTTTTCTTAAGTGTCTGTGCTGGTACCACACCGAAATGAAATGGGAATCTGTTTTACTCCGGCCACGCTGCTGAGCGATGATGCAGGTTATGCGTGGGAGTAGGGCGGTTTAGAAATGTTATTAACGGACGAAATAATAATTTGAAAGAAAATTGAAAACCTTAATCGGTTAGAGTTGTTTTTTTCAAGTGTCGAGTTGGTTAAAAATTACCGTGTCGAAGTTAACATTTTGATCGATTGAAGTAAGGAAATATAACAAGAAGAGTTTCTCCATCAAGTGGAACTTTTCTTAATCGTGAAACTTTAAGAAATCGCGTATTAGATGCTAGAATCCCAAAGTGCTGACGGTGATGTATTGATGAGCAGGTTTCAAAGAATGCAATTAAGTATCAGCTACGATTGAATCTGAAAGGCACCCTGTCATTCTGTTCTTGTAAACAACACAATTTCCTCAGAGCAAATAGTTCGTTTCAGGAATATAAGGTAAAAAGAAACTTTGGGAATGAAAGTTTTAAAAGAAATGGCTGTTTTACAGTAGTTCACGGTTAGCTGAGTTTGCAATACGAGAATCATCTAGACATCTCCTACAAACTAAAGCATTAGATCGTTAAACCGCGGTAAACATTTAGTTATTAAGGTGTAACGTCTACTGCTACAAGTCCGAGATAAACGACCGCATTGGAAACATTTTTTCAAATTCTGTAATATTTGACGGAAATATTCAACAAAAATATTCGAAAGAGGACACCGATTCAAAATATCACGTGACACTGAAGGGCAGCTGCTAAAATCACATGATGCGCAGGTGGAAGTGATGTTTGTTCGCGCTTTGTTTTTATGTCTTTTATTTTTAAGTGCGATTCTTCACTGAATTTTTTAAAAATCATTTTTTTAAAATTTTATTTTTGTGCAATGTTGCCCCGAAAAACGGAGTATGAAGTGTTCGTTAACCTTGCTTAACGGTCACACTAATTAGTAAAACCATCAGACTATCTGTTTTTCTACCTCGGGAGCCATTTTGCTTATCTGACTGCGTAGGCGGGAATTCGAGTGTTTTCATTTTTATTTGACAGCTCTAGTCGCTTTGACAAATGCTAATCTCCTAGCGCGCTTATTTGCCCTCATATTACTTTCATAACAAAACCATTCTTTTGCGATGTTTTTCATTTCTTAGCTACTTCAGCACAAAGACAGATCAGCACAAGTCAGCAGTTTGTTTAGCATGAACTCGACGAAAGCAAACGAAATTTTTCAGTTTCAGGAACAACACAGCGTCGAATGCTCTAACCATTGCGACAAAATATCTCTCAAAGAAAAATCTATCATTGGGACTTTTCAAAGTGAGACTTCATGTTTACCATACGGTCGTAATTTTCTCGAGGCGAGCGCCGGAAATGTCTACGAAAATTCGAAAGAGGCGAGCAGTTTTGGCGGGAGTTTTGGTCACGCCAACACGGATAGCATTTTCTGGGGCGGGAAATTTGGAACACATGGTTCTGACGATACACAAGTCGTTCCAGACTTCGATGACTTGTTAGAAAAAATTCGTGCTGACATCGACAGAACTGGTGTTTCAAGGGAATCACTTGTTGCCGAGACCGAGTGCCGCAGCAGTCGGGTTCACTTCGACTCCTCTGGTCGTCCAAAAAGAAGGAAGTCCGAACGCGACGAGTTAGAGATTTATTTCCCCTGTGTGTTAACTCCTCTTCCCGTGGATCGCTTGTACAGCACGCTTGCAGATGACGCAACTGTGTTCAAATTTCCAGTGTCTTCCATCGAACATTTTGCCAATGACAAATCGAAGCAATACTTGTCGAGCGAACATGACTTAAACGCAGATGAAATTCGTCACAGTTTAGATTCGTTTGACAATGTCAGCGTTCTTTCATTTTCAGAGGGAAGTGAAAAGAAATTTGTTAAGTCGGATGTAACATCTACCGATGCGAGGATTTCGACGGGAGGAAACGAACATGATTTCATCGAAGAACAACAACAATTCTTGGACACTGGCCAAACGTGCATTAGCGAGCAACAGATTTTACCTCTCTCTACCATGACTATAGGAAATAAACTTAAATTTCAAAATTCTATTACAAGTGGCTCTTGTCCGGAGGCGATACATGTATGCATCTCTTCACTGGACCAAAATACACAGTCCAGTAGAAAGCAGTGCGGAAGCCCTTGGCAAAGGTCTCAAACTATCCACGACCCACTCGTTCAGTCGAGTAACACGTCAACCTCCGCAGAGTATCTTGAACTCTCCCAAAGTGTAAAGGTAAATACAGATCCCTCTTTAAATGTACTTCCTATGAATAACTGGAGAAACTGCGTCAATTTTGACATCCCCGTCGAAAATCCTTCCTTTACCAAAGACGGGTTTGTCGAAGGCGGTGAAGCTTCCGTTGAATGCAGTCGTTTAGGATTCCTCGCGCCTCCACCTATTTGCCCGAGAATTGACAATGCGTCGATGAATCTATGTGACAATAAAGCAGGACAGGAGGAAGAATCGTCGCTTTGCGGAAACTTTGCTGTGATAAAAACCGGAACAAATTATGAAGACAGTGATGAAACAGTTTCGATAAAATTTGCAAGCAAAAGATCAAAGAATCGTAACGCGAAACCAATAGGGAACGAGCGAGGTACCTCTTACAGCTGCAGTTCCCGCGGTTTTCATAACAATCTGGAAAAGCAGCGGCGAATTAACATGAAGGCACGGTTTCAGAATCTGAGAATGGCCCTGCCAGAATTGTCAGATAATCAACGAGCATCAAAGATTGCCATTCTGCGAAAGGCTTTGGAGTGTATTGGAATGCTAGAGAAAGAATCTGTAAAACTGGAATACATAAAGCGAACAGAAAAGCTAAAAAACATCGAATTGTTAAATAAGTTACAAAACATAACCTCAGGACAATGTTAGTCTGTACTTGTACTTTTAATTGAGGCTATCACGTGAAAATGAAAAATAGTAATGACAGCAAAAAATTACAATCGTCACCACAGTAACGTTTTCTGGAATATTCAGTCGTTGTTAAAGTTGTCTGTTACACCCCGCAGGCTCAGTACCCCCCCGCATTGCGCCTAACGAATATTGAAAGGCAGTAATTCGAATAGCACTTGGGCGTCCGTCTCATGGTCTGTTTTTATTGCAAGAACGTATTTTGGTAATAAATTCACTGTTTTCTTATACAAGGACACCAAGGGCGGGCCCGGCAAGCAAACTTAGATGCACGAAAGAAACCTTTTTTTGTGGCAACAATATTATTTCGGCATTTGTGCGAGGTGAAATCATTTGTGTGCCCACAAAAAATATGATTTTTGGTCGCGTAAAAATTATTTACATGATGTGTTTATATATATGTTTTTGACCATCGCCAATACCCTTCTCTGGCCTGCGGTAAAGTCAGAACGTAGAGGAATCCACGCAGACCGAGTGGCCTTTCTGATTAAACTGGAAAAATTGTGATAATCACATCATACCTCGGTGTAATAATTTGCGTGTTTGAAACCCTTTGCGGCCATTTCTTGCGCTAGTCAATAATTTTGCGAGATTTGCTAAAAGAGCTTTCTGTTTTAACATTTTTTTGAGGGGGTGTTAACATCATACCGTTATGAGCGTCACACATTTTATATTTGACATACTCCTTCTTTTTGAACGTTCCTCAATGAAAAACTCCATTTTTTGGGCTCGATTTACTAAACTGACTCCAAATATTACGTTCATTATAGTACTACTGTCTTCACTGTACTGTCCTTCAAGAGACCTCGAGTTCAGAAAAAAACGCCAGATTATTGCCCGTCTGCCGTTAGGTGGTACCCTCTAGGGGTTCTCGATCGGTTTCTCCAGGGTCTGCGGTGGTATTCTCAGGATCCAAGAGTTGACCGAATTACAGGCAGGCGTGAAGAAGTCCACATTAGAAAAATGTATTGTGGGATTCGGGAAACGTTTACTTAACGTGATACGGAATTTAAGTGGGATTCGCCAAACCTTTAACGTGATTTCCAGCCCAATGTTAGCAGCTTCCATACATTCTCTTTTACGTGGTCGCGATTTTCCGGGTAGCGAGGACAAAACTTCGGGATGCGGAACTTTCGTGAAAAAGGAGCGAGAATACGGGATCAGGACCCCCCTCCTTCCAGCCCCTCCAAAAATCTCAACCCGGTTCAGCAATAGGGATAAACTTATACCGGTACGTCTCTCATTAGAACGAACATTGCTGTTAATATGATGTTAACGAACAAGAGAAGGATCTATAGTGAATGAGAATTATAGTAAAAAATGAAGAAGAAAACGGCGCGGAACGAACTAAGATGTTATCATTTAACTTCAACCCTATGTTTGTCGAATTTTTTGTGCGATTATTGTAGCTTTTTCTTTGCACTTGATAAATTTTCCAAAACCTTTAGAATATTATGCATCTCTCTTGCTGTGCTGCCAGCAAAAGAGGTTGATTCCGACTCTCTTTAACAGTGAGTAGTAATGCACCTCTAAATTCTCCGAACATGGGTTAAGGTGTTTTCCTGCTTAGCAGAAACAGGAGCGAATATTTTAACCCTGTTAAAGTTTCTTCCAACTTTATTGTTATAGTATAGCTAAAACCAACCACTGTTTTGACAAACGAAAGACATTTAAATATTGACTTAACATTTAGGTGGATAATGCGTAGTTTTTGTCTTTTTATTTAAGATTTAGCCAAAATAAAGTTACAGTTCGTCGAAGCGCTTACCCCCTCGCCCCACCCCCGTCGATTAAGCGCCTTCCTTCCAACAAGCGCCCCTCCTTTTAGTCGAAATTTGAAATAGGCGCCCAGGCGCTTATTAGAATAAATACGGCACCTGAATGTATGTGTAAGGCCATGCGCTCAACCGCGGTCCGACGTTTTCGGTGCTTTTTTATCATTCTGTGGGATTTTATTCATGGTGAGGGGGAAACCTGATAAAGGATTTATGAAGTATCCGGTGGATGAATGAAGTTTCGGCCTCAGCTAGCTAGATCAAAGGCTATGTTCACTCTACACCAGATACCTCTTGCGCCGGTACGCGAACCTTACCGAATAGGGCTTCTGCTCACAGATAAGAACGGTGATTTCGGCGCGATATCTGTAACGTAGCGCCGAGGCTACCCCACGAAAGTGGAGCATTAGATATCGGATAGGTGCTGTTGCATACTTTGGTCGTGACATTGTGAACGGGTGTTCGGACCGTAGCGGAAGTGAGTGAATTGGAGTGAGGACTGAAATCCACTAAGACGGAAGTAAATATTCTGGAGTGAGGACTGGGAATGAATCTCACCTTCTCGCTCTACCGCTTCGGCTCGATGATGTTCGATGAGCGAGAGCGACGTATTCCAGTTCTGTGTAGTTGCTTTGAGTATGTTCTTTAGAGTGCCGATTCAAATGTAAACTATCAAGCAGTACCGCCCTGTCTTGTTATTGTGTTGTTTAGTTTCTTATTGGCTGTTTGTAGTCTCCCGGTGCACAGGCGTTTTTGCTTTTGCTTCTAACATGATATTGAATGAGATCTTGAAGTGTGACCACTTAAATGGAAGCCGGCGGGAATAATTCGCCTGTTCCGCTGTGAAGAAACCGATACGATATATGGAAAGAAATATGAAAAGAAGGCGCTTTTTGGTTCCTCGAGTTATTTTCCTCTTTGGAAAGCCACACTGGCTTACTGCTTACAAGGAAAATCACGAATTATTATGAGTTGGAAACAACGCAGCACCAGAAATAAGGAAAAGGTTTTGTAACAAAGAGACAATGCGATCCCATCTTGCAGGTTGACGTTTTATAATGTTCTTTTTTTCTTTTTATGTCTGACAACTCTGCTCTCATGACCGGTCTCCATCAGGCTGCCACGAACGGCAACAATAGCAGGAGAATTTTTAGAACAATAGTACAAATAACTGCAAAAACAATCACCGCACGTGTCTTGTACATTCCGGTTGATTTCTTTACCCGCTGTGTCTGCTCAAGTGCAACGTAGTTACTTTTACCGAGATCATCACGATCTTCAGCTTAATGTTCCTATGAGTTTCCCTCTTCTCCTGAAAAATGTCTGCCCAACTCTTCCACATCCTCTCTATTTTTAAAGACTATCTAAGTACGTTTTAGGGGGTCTACTGGTCCTCGCTTTACACGGGTTGGCGTCCCTAGACAAGCTCGTTTTTGTGTCTGTAGCGATGTCCCGCAAGATTGATTCTTCTTCATCTGATTCCATATGAAGTGAGGAAATGTGAGTATGGACACGGTCTGTGACTCACGTTAGAAAATGCCGTTCTTTTTTTTAGTTGGACCATAACCTCTCTTGAGTTTGATTTCTAGCTCTCCATTCTTTACAGCTTCATGTCTGGCTAACTTGACCACTTTAAAAGTGTTCGAAAGCTTATCCATCATACTGACCTTTCCTTAAACGTCTTCTCGGTCTTTTTTGAGTCTTTGTTTTTCTTGTTTGCTCACTGAATGTGTAAAACAAGTCAGAGTTACTCTTTTTTTCAGTAAGTTTCCTTTATAGTATTGTAATTAAGATCAGAAACTGAAAAAAACACCTGTGGTTTTATCAAGAAATTTTAATGTGTCTAAGCACTTACGCGGCGCGCCGTGCTGATTTTTGCACAGACGGTGAAAGGTTAAGTCGTGAGTGAGTCCTTCAGCAGCCGGAAAAACGGAATCCATGTCCGCGGTTGAGATTTCGACACTTTGTAGCATTTTTTGCGTTCAGGCTTTAAGCAATGATTTTCTTTTTGAGGCGTTTTCAAACAATAATGAAGACGCGTGCCGCTCGCAAGCAGTTTGGATAAATATAAGCTATGAACACGATCATTATCATCGTTATTCTCTTATTATTTTTGTTATTATTATTACTACTATTAACTGCATTTACTTTTTATAATACTCCCTTGAAAACAAAGCCCACCATTTGAAAGTATTGCTGAAAAGGTTTCATTTGAATGGTCACACCATTCTATTTTGCCCACAGTCCACTAAAAACGACATTGTGGGTCTTCATAACTACGTGACTCAAGCCGTGAAAGATTGAATGATGCTTTTTGTACTTGTACTCCGATATTGTTGGGAAAGTCACTCGATACAACTTTCGAACCAACACCTTTCGATTCCAAATGCGCTTAAAGGTTTACCACCCGCTAAATGGTGCTGGCAGCTTGAGTTTTTCTGTTCAGTGAAGGAAAACCATTTACGGGCATCTACCGTAATCTGCCGCTTTTAAGCCCTGGGATTATATATGTTATAACAGGTTTGAGGGGCTTATTAGGGGCACCCAACGACTGTTTTCTGTGAAATATCTGCTCGGAGAAGCAAATATCGCCTAGAACTTTCTGGTACTGTGGACGGCTAAAAATTTCTAGATGTCCGTTCCACTCATGTACAATTTTCGAAGGCTTATCTAATAAATTTCCTACCATGTTCTGAAGTTTACTTTTCGCTTTTCACTTCCCAAGTCAGGCTATTTCTCGTTGAGTGAAAGGAAACCTAAAATTTTGGGATTCAAAAATACAATGGAGAGAGAAGTCAGAATATGTCTCACTTTCGTAGCACGTCAAATTGCACCTAAAATTTTCGGGAAAATAATACTCAAGCCCTTGTAATTTGGAAAAGACTCACATTTCCCCTAGGGTGACCCAACTGATACAAATTTATAGCGACGCTTAGAATGCATTTCTAGACATCTAAACGTACTCAGGATACCCTAAAAAGTGTTATCAATATATTTAGGAGGAAACTGTCGTTGGGTGCCCCCAGGGGGCTTGTGACCGGAACAGGAAAAGCGCTTCGAAACAGACCGCTGTAGCAGTCACTGAGCAGTGCTGATCAAAATACGTGTTGCAGTTATTGGTTTTAATGAAGGTGTTTGCCAGAGATTATTCCGAGCGGTTCGCTGATCCTGAGCATAATTTACTTC